GGCGTGGAAATGGCGCCCCCCTGAATTTGGCCACAACGCCATAAAACACCAGAATAAGAGACGTGCTGTCTGTGCTCCAATCGACCTGAAATTTTACACGCGTGCTCCGAGTCTCAGCCAGAGCGCGTTTCCACCCGGCCAACATGCACGCCGCCGCGGCTCGCCACTAAACAAGAAGTGGCTTGTAACTAGGCCACACTTGCTCCGATCTGCCCCAAACTCGAAATGCCGGATCACAGTCCTGCCCGGAGCAGGTTTGCGCCACACCCCGCCGTGCGCAAAGGCCGACAAGCGCAGGGCGAGGACCCATCCATCGCCGCTTGCGGCTTTAATCTATTTTATTGTTATCATGTTTATTGTTATAACTACACAAAGTTACACCTCTCAGTTGTTATGTGGAACCTTTCCTGTTACATTTCAACAGTGGCCCTGATGACCTCCTTGTTTCAGTTGATGTATTTTTTGTAAATAAATAAACATTTGTTTAATTTTAATATTAAGCAAATAAAAGGTTTTGTGCTTAAATATCATTGTTGTCGTTTTTTTTAATGTGCCCCTGTGATTAAACACTGGCCCCACCTTGCCCCCCCTCCCCAGTAAAATGAGTCTAGAACCGCCACTGGGTTTTATCTAAACTCTCCATCCTGCTGTCATGTCATTAAAACGTCTGTTTAAGTTTCCCTTAACTTTCCCCTTAAGTGTCGAACCAGAAGCTAACTTCAGTGCATGAAATAACAGCTTGAACGTGACAGAGTTTTCAGTGCAGCCCAACACACTTTGTGCACATCATGGAGCTGCTGCTGCTGCACAAAGCTCTTGTGGAAACATGTTTGTGCAGCGACAACAACAGCGTTTCACAATCGGAGCTCCTTATCACCTGTTAACTGGTGGAGCTGAGTCAGCGGCTCTCTGTACTTCTGACCTGTCTGCGCTTTGACCGCTCACTCTGCCGTCTCTCTCTCTGGGAAGGCGTGATGCTGCTGTTCGTCGCTGTCAGTGTTTTTTTTCTAGCCGTGGGTCACGCTGAACCCACTGGGGACTCGTCGTACATCGCTGCCGTGTACGAGCACCGCGTCGTCCTGAACCCGGAGCCTCGAGTCCCGCTGAGCCGCCGCGACGCGCTGCAGCACCTGCAGCAGAACCTGGACGTCTACGAGCAGCAGGCAGCCCGGGCCGCCCAGCAGGTACAGACGACTGCAATAAGCACCTTAACAGTCACTAAAACATGCTGCTTATTCAACAGCTGCATGCATCCAGGATTTGCTTAAACATCACGTGCAGAAAGTAGTGCAAGTTCTCAATATGAACTAAATTCAGAGGAAAATTCTAAATCATTGCAGTGTGAGCAACTTCATGCCACACTTTCTCTGACTGTGTTCCCCTGAAAGAAGGTCAAACATCAATCCCACACTGTTACATTTTAACTCTGGGCCCCTCAAGTGAAGTCTGACATGCAGCTGGAACAAAGTGACCATATAAGTAAGTCTTTAATTAAAAAGTGGAAATAACAAAGCAGAATCCTTAAATTTGAGGTAGCTGGGGGATGAATACAGTTCCATAGTAAACACAGCTATATATTTAGGCATCAAAGATTTAATTTCCAGCACTCTTGTGATTTTTTTTTTTTTTTTTTTTTGAATAACTTTGCTAATGGTCCTTGGCCTCCATTTATGGTTAAAATGTCTTTATGGCAAGAAAATAATTTCAAAAAAGGCACCAAGTAACAGTTTAAAATATAATACAACATAATGCAGTAAAGATCTCAGGCCTTCTGTTTTGCTTTTAAGTATTTATTCTCCCACAGATCAACATTTCTCTTAATGATTTACTTTTTTGTCCTCCTTAAATGTGCACCTCAGTGATAAATTAACTGTGATTCATTTGGAGCTCCTGGACAAAAATCTTGCTTTAGCTACATTTCTATTGCTCAAAACTTTCTGCACATTAAAACATCAAGACTTTTTTTGGAATCCTGTTCATCTCAATTATGCACATTCTGGCCTAAATCGAAACATTTATACGATCTATTAGAGAATGAAACCTTGTTAAAGCCTCTAAATCGTTCTGGAAAACAATAACAACTTGAACTGGGTTACCTACTGGCTCACAACTTAATTAGTTTTGCGACTTTTGAAGGAAACAGATCTAGGTATTTGATCTCCTTATTTTCTTTCATGGCTCTTTTGTGGTTATCGACCTGCAGAGGAGAGGAGGAGACGCTGCACCACTACTCACTGGATCACAACACTTTGAGTAATTGTGTTTGTTGTGGTGTTTGTATTGACACATAATTGATATTTTGGTAGACAAGACAAACCTAGTGCTGCAGCAAAGGCGCATAATACCTCCACTGTTTATTTCATGTTTTAAATATCTGGGAGAAATGCTTTTGTAAATAAAATATTGAGGGAAACGTCATTACCCCTGAAATTTACGCCTATGCAGAAATTAGTGTTTTCACCTAAACATCCATATTTAGCAACACCACAGTGGAGTCCCTGCAGCAGATGAATGAGTCCTGACTTCCCATCTCCCTCTCAGGGGGCCCAGATCCTCGTGTTTCCAGAAGATGGTCTCCAGGGTTTCAACTTCACCCGTTCGTCTATCTCCGGCTACCTGGAAACCATTCCTGACCCCCAGCAGGAGAGCTGGAACCCCTGCACCGAGCCGGGCAGATACAGCAACACTGAGGTTCACAGTCATGCATTTAGATTTGATTTTAGCAAGCATGTGCAGGGCCTGCTCGATAACTGTAGACGCTGTTCGGTGTCTGAACATAGACGACATTTGGGTGTTTCTTGTAGGTTCTCCAGAGACTGAGCTGTATGGCCCGTCGGTACAACCTCTACCTGGTGGCCAACATGCCCGACCTGCAGCCCTGTCCCCTGCAGAGCGCTCCGTCCTCCACCTGTCCCGCCGATGGACGCTGGCAGTTCAACACTAATGTGGCTTTCAGGTGCAGTGCGGACCTTGAAGTAGAAATCTAATACTCAATTCTCTGGAGTTCATGGTGTCTTCTTTCACACAGTTCGGATGGGCTGCTGGTGGCGCGCTACCATAAATACAACCTCTACTTCGAGCAGGCCTTCGACAAACCTCCGCAGGCTGAAATCATAACATTTGATACACCTTTCGCGGGGAAGTTCGGCCTCATCATCTGCTTTGACATCCTGTTCCGTGATCCCACAGTAACCCTGGTGGAGAGGGTAGAAAACAATACAAACGCACCCTCAACAAATATGCATCTATGTTTGAGTCCTCTCCTTAGCTTCTCTCCTCTTTCTAGGGTGTGCGTCAGCTGATCTACCCCACAGCCTGGATGAACCAGCTCCCTCTGCTGGACACCATCCAGTTTCAGCGGGCGTTCAGTCTGGGCGCCAATGTCACCATACTGGGTGCAAACATTCGCAGCGACCGACTCATCATGTCAGGAAGCGGCATCTACACCCCCTTTTCTGCTACTTACCACCATGCAAAGACGGGAGACCCAGAGGAGGGGAGGCTGCTGGTGGCAAGGGTGCCGGTGTTGGATCCACTGTGGGCGGGCCAGAGTGTAGCCACAGAGTCCACATCATCATCATCATCATCATCAGTGGATACAGACTCTGGGTTCTGCCACCAAGACAACTGCGTTGATCCTCCTGCTGCTTCCTCCTCAACATCTTCCTCCCACCCCACCTTCACCTCATCCATGATGTATGACCCATTTAAATTCATCCTCCTAAACAACACAGAGGACGAACTCCAAGTGTGCGATGGCACTTTCTGCTGTCGCCTGCAGTACAAGTTTGTGCCACCAGGCAGCAGTAAAGAGCTGTATGCTGTGGGTGCCTTTGCAGGAACACACATCGTCAACGGACGTTACGCCCTGCAGGTACGGAAGGGAAGAATTTTGAATATTTAAAACTGCTCTGGAGCTCCTGTTTACCGCCCGTATCTCTGTCTGCAGGTGTGCGCGGTCGTCCGCTGTGCAGACCTGGAATCCAGCTCCTGTGGACAGGAAGTGGAAGAAGCGGAGTCTAAAATGGACTTCGTGTTAGAGGGGACATTCGAGACCAGGCATGTGTACCCGTCGGTTCTGGCTAGCGGTCTGGTCCTGGAGCAGCCGCGGACTTTAGAGAAAACTGCAGATGGGAGAGTGACCATGAAGCACTCAAACATGACAGGTGGCCTGGTCACTGCCTGTCTGTATGGACGAATGTACCACCTGGACAATGAATGAACACCTTTTGGGAAAGATGTGCGGCGACGAGAGAGACGTTAGTTACATTTTAAATAAAACTACTAATGTTCTTATCTGGACCAGTAATGACATTCAACCTTTTGTATTCTGTCATATACAAACTAAAATCAAAAACAAATAGCTTTATTCATCTACTATTACTTAATCTTTACAAACATTGCACCAAGTAGCATTCATCCTCCGCCTGAAAGTTGCATATTCCTAAAAAGGCAATATTTAATCACTTCTCTCTCTCTCTCTCTCGCTTTCACTCCCACACACAGACACACACACACACACACACACATATTCACACAGTATTCGCCACTTTTCCCGCCTCCAGTACAGAACACAGACATTAAGTAGTTACAGCATCACAAGTGGACAATTCCTTGGGCCGCTCATTCAGGTTATCAGCCGACTGACACCCGAACCAGTTGTACAGTAAATGGGTCTTACATCCACCCGCTGTCAGAATCACCCCTCAAGGATTCGATCAATAAATACGCAGGATTCACAAGTGACCTCCTCTCCTACGAATCGAAAAGTGGTTCCTAATCCTCCACACAGCATTCCCAGTGTCCTTGAGCGACAGTCATCGGTGTCTGCCATCACAGCTAAAAGAAGAACTCTGAATAAAAATGAAAAAAAAAAAAAAAACCCTAAAAGTACAATAGGGAAAACACTTAATCACCTGGTCCCGTAAGATTGTCCCTCTGGTTTTTTTTTTTTTTTTTCTTTAGATAATTGTGCCAAAACAGCAGTCCTCTGAGTTTTCTTCTGTAGATGCTCATCTAGTAAATTGGAAGGAAAATCTCTGAAAAGGCTTAAAATGATTCCAGAAAGTATCAGGAAACCATAGGAGCTTAATTTAAAAAGGAAAACCAACATTGCTTTAAATTTAAAAAGACATTAGCCATGTTACTGACCATACAGTGGCGCTGCCTGAAAAGTGTGTATTCACCTTATTCTACATGATTCCCCTCCCTGTGGGTATGCACCTTAAGGAAACAAGCTTTACACAAGGGTTATTTTTAGATTTGAAGAGGCTTACCTAAAAATAATTTGCTCTATTTTCTCCCTCTTGTCTTTCTTTTAGTCTCTTCTCAGTGATCTATTAAGGCTCCTGAGTGGCTGGCTAGCCTGCCAGTATTGTAGGGCTCTGTCCAGTTAGTCCTCAGTACGTCTCTGAATCTGAGTCATTCAGTTCGTCGTCCCCAGAGACGGAGGACAGCGGGCGCTCCGGCCTGCAGTAGGACGCGTGGTCAGGCCTCAGAGGGGGTGGGGTATCAAAGGCCACGCCTTTTGAGATGTGGTTGGATGTGGGGTGGTGGTTGATGACGGTCTGAGTAAGTGACAGCGCGGGCAAAGCTGCGATGGTGACCATGGGGGAGGTGGGCATCATCGAGTTGAGGATGAGCGCCAAGCAGTCGGCTACATCGCGGTTGGGAGCGCAGGCCAGAGCTGGAGTGTAACCTGGGAAGAAAAGAAGAGAGGGAGAAACAAACAGTTTATATTTCAACCTGGAGGTATGTCTAACAGCTGAGTGTGTGTGTGTGTGTGTGTTAAAGCAGTGAGGTGGAAGCTGACCGTTCTCGTCCACTGCTAACACGCTGGCTCCTTTCCCCAGCAGCTCCTGGACCACCACAGTCAGACCCTTCCTGGCTGCTACGTGCAGAGGCCTGCAAGTAGAGAGACACAGTTCAAGAGCCCATATTCTGCTTTTTGGTTTTTCTCCTTCCTTTAGTGTGTCATGCAGCTCTTTGTGTATGTAGAACTGCAAACTTATGAAGTTCACATCAAAGGGAATTAATCTCTCCCACAGAAACACTGCTCTTTAACCCTATGAGCCTCTGGTTGTTACCTATACCTCCTTTAGTCACTGCAGTGTCTAGCTCGTACATGCTGCATCTTGTTTTGTTTTTTTCAGAGCAGTCTAGGCTACCCAGGTTTTCCATCATTTGATATGAAAAAAACTGCAGATTTTTAAAATGAGCCTTTACATTTAAAACATAATTTTGAACTTTAGTTTTTTACATGTATCTTACCATAAACTGCTGGTAGTGGCAATTTTTTTTCTTAAGCGTGTAGGAGAGACTGTCTGGAATATGGCAATATCAGAACCATGTGTGTAGGATGTTTTATTCACTACAGTGTTCATATACTGTAGCCTACGCGTAGAGGTGGCAAACAAGGTGAATGTACAGATACGTTTATCAATGCAATAATGAGGTCAGGAGTATTTCAAATAAGAGTAATGAGAGAGGAGATGGTTGTAGAGCTGTACGCAGGTTGAAACTTTAATTTATTTGATGTAAATTCATTTTTCCTTGTTGACACTTAGTGACACAGACAAGTAACTAGCATTGTTGCAAAAGTCAAGTTGTGCATTTTCATCTGATATAAGCTGCTAAAGCCACTTCTGCTAAGGCTACATCTCTCTATATTCTGAGATGTGGTTATAGTACGTAACCAACACTGCCTTGCTTTTGTCTGGCCAGCTGACCAATCAGAGAAGGCTGGTCTTTTATTGAATAGTGCTAAAACTGAGCATTTCAGAAAAAGTGAGAAGAGGTGCTTCAGCAACGCACAATAAGAAAAAAGAATGTGCTTTTTCAAGATTAAAGCATGTAAACTTATTTTAGTAGACTGCAAAAATAAAATTACAAGACCTATAAATGTGCACGATAAAGTACTTTTTGAAAGAAGTCCAGCCTTATCTTAGCAGGTTACCCTGTTGCTTAGGTGACTGTGTGCATGGTGGGATTATTACATACGTTTGGAGAGCAGCATTGGTGCAGTTGATGAGGTTTCTGTCACTCAGTTTCTCCAGAATCAACAAGGCACTCGTCTCATGACCCTGACAGGACCAAAAAAAAAGAACGAAAAAAATAAAATTATAGGTGTCTTGCAAAACTTGAAAGTACAGTTGCTGCAATGGCACCGCTTTCAATTTTAAATCTATACAATAAAAATTCAGACAAATCCAGTTTTACTTCAAATTACAGAGCACATCCCTAATTTACAAGCAAACCCAGAGTACCTGCCCAACATGTAGACTAATTCTCTTTTTTGGACATTTTCAATTTACAATAACACAAGAAAATCACAATTATTTTGAAGAGCGATAATTTCCAACTAATTTTGAATATTGAATGTATAAAATTAATGGTTATTGCCTTGCTGCATGCCAGATGTAATGCTGTGTTCCTTTGTGTGTCCTGTAGTGCCAGGTCTGCTTTAGCGCTGCTCACCAACACCTCTGCAAAACATCAGTGAAGAGGGTTACATGTGAAAGGTTTAGAAATCAAGGGGCAGCAGTGTATCTGTTTATCAGCGCGTACTGACCCACTGCATTGGTCTGTCCGTTGAGAGCTGCCATCATCAGTGGTGTCCTGCGCAATTGTGTGTCGACAACGTTCGCCTGAGCTCCGTGGCTCAGAAGAAGGGAAACACACTCCACATGGTCAGAAAAAGCTGCAGCATGAAGTGGGGTCCTGCATCAAAATCAGCACAGTTAATGTAATGACAAGTTTGTCCTCTGAAAAAAAAACAACACATGATGTAAATTTGGTCTGTTTGCATCTCTCACCTGCCCTTAGAGTCAGTGGTGTTGACAATATCTGCACCCAGGGAGTCAATTAACATCTCAACAACGCCCTCATTGTCGTTCATACTGAAACACACAACACACACACTGTGACATAACCTTTGACCACATCAATCCTCGTGTTAACATTCATAGGTACAAACATTGTCTTACACAGCACAGTGTAGCGGGCTGAAGGAGTTGCCTTTGATCTTTCTGAACACCTCCTGATCTAGCAACACCTCCACACACGCATCATAACCTAGGAGACAGAGCAAAGGCATGTAAACTTTGCTGTGGTTTCATACAGAAAACAGATGTTGACGTGTTTCTCAAGCGTGACATGTTGTACCGTTGTAGCAGGCCCAGTGCAGTGGCGTGTAGCCCTGGCTGTCTGTGAGGTGCGCCTGAGTGTGTGAGGTGCTGGTGGTCTGTAGCAGGGCACCCAGGGCACCCACACGGCCGCAAGCAGACGCCAGGTGGAGGGGGGAGCGACCCCGGATGTCCTTGACACACACACTGGCCCCACGCTGGAGGAGGGCCTCCACACACTCCTCCTGGCCTGTTACGGCCTATGTAAAAACCACGGGAAGCATTAGGAATGATAAACACAGTATAGAATATTTAACAATAGAATAGAATAGAATAGAATAGTTATTTATTGTCACTGTGGAATCAATGTTAAAAAGACAGTATTGTGTTGTAATAAGTCCAGTTTAAGCTGTGACTTATCTCACCCCTCGGTGTAGTGCTGTCCTGCCCCAGCGGTCCTGATTCTCCACACTGGCTCCTTGACTGAGCAGAGAGTACACACACTCTGTATGTCCACTCAGCACTGCCAGCATCAGAGGAGTCCTACACACAGTGTGGAAACATTGCAGAACTCAATGAGATTGTTTATTTCATTTAACTTTCAGCTGAAACCGGTTAAAGTGACATCCTCAGACCAAACAGTAGCATAACGACTTCACACAGGAGCCTCTAGACGAAGCCATTTTTCTACGCACACACATACACACTCACTGTCCGTTGGTGTCTTGTGCGTCCACATTAATGTGTTGGTCGTTGTTGCTGATGAGCAGGCGCAGGCACTCTGGGTGGCCATTCATAGCTACGGCAGACAGACACACACACACATGCTGGAGCTTGACATATTTTCTAAAGCAACACATGTTTTTTTCATTTTAAAAAAAGCAAAAACTGAACCTCCATGTAATTTCTGCGGATGTACATGTCTGCTTGTGTAACTACCTGCAGCATGCATGGCTGTCTTTTTGTGGATGTAGTCACGGGTCATGGGTGAGGCGCCGTGGTGTAGCAGCAGGGAGACGCACTCCTGATGACCCTTGGAACAGGCCAGACTGAGGGGGGTCCGTCCCTCTGGGCTGCGAACGTCCACATCCAACAGGGACGACAACAGGACCTCTAACGCTCCACAGTGTCCGTGGTAAGCCTGGATGAACCGAAGACGCACACAGCAACAGACACACTTTAAAAATAATGGTAAAATACTGTTATAGATGGCTAAATAGAGAAAGAAGGAAAATGGCAGTGAAATCCTGTCTGTGAGAGAGGCATACAGCCAAATACAAGCGTGCTGACAAATCTCAGAACTCACCGCCAGATGGAGTGGACTGACCGGAGCCTGGCTCTCTGACTCACTCAGAATGTCTGTTCCTGATGTCTCCATTAACTGAAACAGAAAGGTGGTTATGCAATTCAGATCCCGGCTGGCATGTATGGAAAATCACTGCCTCGTTCAAGTAGCACAGAAAAAACAAACTATGGCCACACTGCTTCATATACTTTATAAAAAAAAGAATAGGAAGCAGGTCAATGGGAGATTATGAGGGTTTTGTGAACACATATGCAACAAGGAGCCTCAGATTTAAAAATGCATGCAACCTTGAATTATCTCTTTTTATCCAGTAAATAAGAAAAGAGGCATTACAGCAGTTGATGCAGCCACAACACTATGACAGAGGGAGCTGCTTACAAGAAGTTTATGTAAGAGATCACTGTGCTACAGTGGGTGATTTGTTTCTTACCACATCAAGAGGTGTCTCGCTTGCCACCTGAAAGAAACACAGACAAACAGTATTTATGATATCACGACAGCTGATTTTCAGGTTTTCTGACTTGTAGGAGTGTAGGACATGCACAGTACTTTCATAATATTTTCACTCAGTGCAGCAGCTGCACTCACCAGCTCCAGGCAGAGTGTTCGTCCATAGGCTGAAGCATAATGCACTGCGCTGTAACCCTGTTTGTCTCTCACTCCCGGATCAGCATCATTCCTCAACAGGTACTCCACACATCTGACGAAGGCAAAAACAAAGGCATTCATCTGATCTTAGACATTCTTTGATACTAGAAACTGTACAAACAGAACACGCAGCTGAACTTACTTTCCATCAGTGTCAGCAGCAGCAGCGTAGTGTAAAGGGCTACAGCCTCTCTGGTCCAGCTCATTAACACTTGCCCCAGAGCCCACCAAGGCAAACACACACTGGTAGTTACAGTTGGCTGATGCATAGTGTAGTGGAGCCCTGGGAGGGTCGGATAAATTAAAATTAGACACTATTTATGCGAGTGAGGGTTTTACAGGTTACTGCTGGAAACGTGGTCCAAAGTTGGGACACCCCGGGACTTAACCGGGTAAGACGGCGACCCATGTACGGGGCTATAGTCCCCGATGCAGCGGCCACGGTTCAGTCTCAGTCCAGCCAGCGGCTCATTTGCTGCATGTCCTTCCCCCACTCTTCTCCCCACGTTTCCCTGTCTCTCTTCACTGTCCAATAAATGCGAAAAAAGCCCGAAAAAAATCTTTAAAAAAAAAAAAATAAACGTTGTCTGAAGTCACTTATTCTATTTTTGTTTCTTGCTGCCACTGTTGTCGTGACCCCATGCATCACACTGTTCGTATGACTGTACACTGTAACTTACCTTCCAAAGTTGTCTTTCCTGTTAAAGTCTGCTCCTATGTTTAACAGCAGGTTCAGACACTCCAGGTTCCTGTTGGATAGACAAGTTTAACAGTGACAATTGTCTCGACAAACCAATGAGCTGTGTAATTAACTGCAGGGAAAGCAGTGCATTTATGCTCATCATAGAGCACATTACAACAAAGTACATTAAATACAAACCAAACATGTACTGAACAAAAACAGGTCAAATGCTGTAAAAAAAAAAAAAAAACGGAACCAAGAAAACCAAAAACGAAGGACCAGAAATTTTAAGAAAAAAAACAAAACAATAAAGCAGTAAGCAAGAATAATCACCCTCCAGCTGCAGCAGCATGTAGACAGGTCCTTCCAAAGTTGTCAGGGGTGTCTATGACAAACCCTGCACAAATATGCAATTGGCATCAGTTTGGATGTCAACTAGGTGATTCCATGAATGGTGTGAGCATGAATGTACCTGAGGACAGCAGCTTCCTGCAGCAATCTGAGAAGCCGCTGAGAGCTGCCAGGTGTAGAGGGAACATCCCATGAATGCCTCTCCTGAAGAAAAAGAAGACAAGTCATTACAGGACACGAGGGGTAACGTGTGAGAGTGTGCGTTTTTGATGACAGGAAGAAAATAAAGAAAAGTGGTTTATCCTGACTTTAAACATCTGCAGTCAATAAGCTGTTCCATTTTTGTTAGTGATTCTTATTACTAAAGCATAAATTGTATAAAGTAGAAAGACAGGCAGATGGCTAAATGTCAGTTGTTACTCACTTGGCGGTATTGGCTCCGTGTTTTATGAGTGCTGTGATGATGAGCTCATGGCCATAGCGGGCAGCTATGTGAAGGGCAGTGTTTCTGCTCTTGTCCTCACAATCAATCTCAGCTCCTACACAAACAGTCAGAAAAGGTATGTTTTTCACCTTAAACAGCATGAAAACAGGCAAGAAAAAAGGTGACATACAGCATCATCTTCATTTACAATCACCACACTGATACCCAAACTAATTTGAACCCATGCATGAAACAGACAGAAACACTGTGGGCGCTCTCACCATTTTGAATGAGGGCCTGGGAGCAGGAGAACCGTCCATGTGTAGCTGCCATGTGGAGGGGAGTCTTACCATCCTTACTCTGGACAGATGGATGGCGAGACAGGGGAGGGAAGTAGAGAGGGAAGAAGACAATAATGATTTTTTACATTTACATATCAGAGTTGCAGCAGCTGACTTGCATTAAAGTACCAGTATGAGCAACGGATAAACTGTGTGTCTAACATTGTAGTGGTAAAATGAACAGAAGCCATCTTAGACCCCCTTGTGGGCCACATGTACACCCACGCACATAATCCCGGAGCAGCTTGCTGCCTTAGGGAGTCACCCCTCCCTCTCCATCTTCCATATGGCCTTGCATCTTGAGGCTGTGGGGACCTAATATCAGTTTCCATCACTGCTACCAAAGTGTTAACAACACAGTCACTTCAGCTTTCTGCTATACACTGAGCAGGATCCACATTGGTAGAAGCTGAGGACACTTTAAAAATGTGTTCTTTTGGTGATATACACAGGTGATGCATAAATCACTTCAGCTGTATCATTACAGAGCATATACAGCTAAATGTGTGGGTTTTAGTCTTTATATCAAAGTGTATGTGCATATAGACATACCTGCAGGTTGATGTGAGCTCCGTGAGCCAACAGCAATTCCTGGCACAGCGCTCCTTGCCGTGAGGAGGAAGCAAAGTGGAGAGCAGAAAAACCCCTCTCATTCACCTAAAGCAAGGCACCAAATACCACAATTAAACAAACATAGTTTCCGCGTCCTTACTGTCTGGCACAGAGTGATGCATACACACCTGGTTGACGTTGGCTCCTGCCTCGATTAGCTCACCGACCACCACATCCTGCCCATTGTAACAGGCCAAATGGAGCGGTGTGTTGCCATAGCTGTTCACCTCGTTCACCTACACAAAGAGAAATAATCTGTATTTATGTATGGTTCTGCAGGAGTCATAGGTGTCTTGGTGGCCTCCTTTATTCGTCTCTTTCTTGCATGGTCACTCACTTTTTCAGAACAACCTGCTCTAGGCACACTTACGCACGTTTTAATCTTTCCATTTTATAATGATCGATTTAACTGTACTCCGAGGGATATTTAGGGACTTGGAAATTTTCTTGTATCCATCCCTGACTTGTGCTTTTCAACAGCCCTTTCACAGAATTGCTTGGAGTGTTCTTTTGTCTTCGCAGTGTAGTTATAGCCAGGAGTACTGGTTCATCAGTGACTGGACCTTCCAGATACATGTGTCTTTATACTACAATCATTTGAGACACATTCACTGCACTCAGATGATGCACCTGTGTTTAATCAGGTGAGTCACTTTAAAGGAGGTTAATATGTATGCAATCACTTATTTTATATTTTATATTCTTAATTGATAGATGTTTACTTTTTAGGAATCTGTATTCACTTTGACATGAAAGCGTACTTTTTGTAAATTTTGTTTTTAAAACCAAATTAAGTTGAACATTATTTAACGTTGAAAAGCAATGAAGGGGGAAATCTTCCAAGGGGAGTGAATTTTTTTTTTATAGGCACTGCATATTTACACTTAGAAATTTAGCTAATGTACATCATAGCACATTACCTACATACTAAGGACATCACTTTTGTGTGTGTGCATATGCGTACTAACATGGACACCCAGGCTCAGCAGGTAGTGCACTGTGCTGCTCATGCCACTGGAGGCGGCTGCATGGAGCGGTGTATAGGCCTTCTTGTCCTTACAGTCGACCTCAGCTCCGCTAGCCACCAGTAACTTCACTACCTCCAGGTGACCTGATAAAAAGTGGTGAAAAGAAGATAAGCCAGATGTCCTTCAGTCAAAACATGCATGTCACCTTGTCCTATGTATCTACATTACCACTCCAAACCTATATTTCAAAAAAATCTCACCCATGTAGGCTGCCCAGTGGATGGCTCTCCTGTCCTTCTTGTCAAAAGCATTAATGTTGGCTCCTCTGGACAGCAGCAACTTCACCATCTGACGCACAAGATCAAATTAAATCGCTGCTGATGCGTGTTTGCATGTGTGTGCGCAGTGTTTAATTGAAAATGACCAACCTCTACATGTCCACTGAAGGCAGCGTGGTGCAGGGCAGTGCGTCCTGCCCGGTCAGATACGTTGACGTTGCTAAGCAGTGGAACCAAAGCCTCAGCACAGCGTACTGCCTTGTTGCTAGCTGCTACATGGAGCGGTGTCTGCCAGTTCTTGTCCCGAGCGTTAACATCTGCACTGTGCTTTAATAACATCGCCACTGCATCCTGAACAGAAAGTGAGCACGGGTCAGACTGTGCAGATAGAGGGTCTCTATGGGAATGTGTCTCGATGTTCTAATAAAGTACATGCCAGTGTTTGCAGGTGGCTGTGTGGGTGTTTATAAAATTCTCTGCTATTCTTATGGTCTTTTTTTTGTTTGTTTTTTTTGCCAAAAATAGCACCGAGAAGGTGAAACAACAAAAGGGTCTGTGTTAGTTTGGGCATGTTGCCTGGGACCAAGAAGAGTAGGTGAGATTTTGAAGGCTTCACAAACTCATGCTCGTGGCACAGAGGTTAAAACAATTTGCCCCTTTAAGGCCATATTGCACAAATCTGCCAAATTTATCAAAACAGTTTTCTTAAACCCTGCCAGTAACATATCTATAAGATAGCTTATCTGGTATGTGTGCATTAAATGTTATAATCAGTGTGGATTTGTCTGATCAAACACAGTATGACAAGCTTTAATAACCTAAATGTGAGAAATGGCACATTACATTGTTTGTGACAGCAGAGAACCAAGTCAGAGCTGCAGTGGAGTCACCAAAGTACACAGTGGCATGTGCATTTGTGTAATGTGTTACCTCACTACAAGAAGCGACAGCTCGGTGAAGAGGAGTCAGCCACTTGTTATCTTTGGCATTAACTCGGGCTCCTCGAATGAGAGAAGGAGAGTGAGAGAGAAAACGATGTCAGCGAAATGTCCATACTGGCAGATACCAAAAAGGCAAACATGGTGGAACCCCGGAAAAACATAGCTGACCTAAAGGCCGGCTGAGTTTAAAAAGGCTTTTTACATGATTTGTGGGAAGGGGTAGTGAGCCAACAGTGCCTGGAAGATATAAAACTCCCATGATCCTCTTTGGCACAGCTAGGGGGTTAAAATAGCCCTAAAGCTGCACCTGTTGCAAGCTCTTCACGTTATTGAGAAACACTGAACACGCATGTACGCACACAAGTATTCCATTGCTCTTGTGTTACGCTCGTGTAAGCTCCTCCTCCTAACGTGCTCAGCTCAGTTCACTGAAAGCCAAGAAAGACCCCTATCAAGTGATTGATGAATCACAAGAAATGTCACCGGTCACCAAGAGACAGTCACAGAGCAGGGAGCAGGGCGTGGAAATTACTGAGGGAACGGGGAGTAGCATGTGAGGATGAGATAGATGACAAACAGTCAGGCCCTTTGAGGAATTCAGGAAAACTGCAGAGCCCGAGGGAAGAGAGACAGAGTAAACTACTAGGACATAAGTAAAGGGCATCATACCACTGATGAACTGTGTTAAAGTTGACTGGGCAATACGGCTCAAAATTGTGTCTTTCTTAGAATTTAGTTTGACATTTCAAGATTTTCATTGACACAGTAACATTTTTAAAAAGGCCCAATTGTCAACTAATTGAATTATAACAATAATCTTGAACCAAAACAGACACAGATTTTTCACAGGCTGATGACCAAACAATGCTGCACAAAAGGAATGTATCAACTTAACTTAGGATGGATAACATGGATAGACACATGGTCAAATAAATGCATACAGGAATGGAAGGTGACAGCCAGTGTGGACGGATCAGTGAGCTCGCAAGTAGAATTGATACCACAGGCGCCCAGATATTAGGTGGCAATTAAACAGGGACAGATGGATAAACACTTTGATAGATTGCAGCTAGCAGAGCAGGGCTGGAGTGTTTACCTGAGAGGATGAGCAGTTCAATGATCTCAGCGTCTCCCAGGTAGGCTGCAGCGTGCAACGGGGTCCGCTTCTCATTATCCTGCAAGGACGTTCAAAAGAAAACCAAAAAAACAACAGAAATTGAACCGTTATTTTTTGTTTTTCATACAACTGTAGGTCATACATCATGAGCAGTGAGAACAGACGCCAAACAAAATCCATAGACCTTGCACAGATGCAGACCACAGGAAACATGAGACAAGAGCGACAAGGAGAAAAATGTCTATCATCTGTTCACGTTTATTCTTCACTTCACTCCATCACTTCAACACACCCTGCTGCTGCTGATGCTGCTGCTGCACACCCCCCCCCAATCTCGCTCTCTGTTTCAGTGCAGCAGAGAGCAATCAGCGAAGTGGGGCTATAAACAAATGTCATGTGACTGCAAAAGCCCTGGGCCAGTGTTGCTGACTCCAGGGAGACTCAGTGTGATGACCCCAGCATTATAGGCCCACAGAAAGACGGAAACAGAGGGAGAAAAACAAACAATAGAACTGAATGGGGCATAAACTGAGGAAATACTTTTAGACAGACAAGAGGCAGAGACGGAAGGCAATGGGAGAAGGAGGAGAGATTAGGTAAAGTTATGCCCTTGAGCATCAGGGAGGTTATCGTGGTATAAACAGTTCATGTGTCATGCCTGGTTGACCGCTATATAAGATGGGGAATGTAGAAAGCTGCCAGAAGGCGCATTCAGTCAATCGATCAATAGGAGCCCAGATCAATTGTAGCCTGCTGTCAGACTGGTGCAATTCTTGCTGTTGTTTATATGCCATGTTGTGTCAAATCGCAAATGCACAGGGATGCCATCACAGCAAAACAAAATGATCAAATCAAAGGAAATCAGCGGTGAAAAGTAGTGCGGACGTGTGAAATCTTGTAACGGCGCTAAAGCCAATCAATCTGAAGCAACGTGTGAGTGACTAACCTGAATGTTGACATCCTCTTTCTTGAATATGAGAGAGCGAACTTCATCTGGGTCCACGTTGAAGATGGCTCTTAACAGAGACGGCTTCAGAGACAAAAAAAACAAAATAAGAAAAACGAAAACATGAGAAAATACGCAGCACTAGGTCTTCAATTTGCAAGGCAGTAATTTTCTGTGCTGACAACTGTGTTATCAGTGAGAGTTATGAGAGTTATAGATGGGCCTCACATACGTACAATATAATCCAGGGCTGGGAAAGAGCCATAGGTCTCAACTGGTTGTATATCACCTGTTTGTTTATGAAAGTAGCAGCTGCAGGATGGAGCGCATAAAGTCACTCATGCATTCACGCACTGTAAATGCTCGAGTTCGTCTGTGAGGGGCTAAAACTGCGAACCCGGACAGATGATTAAATGATCCAGGGCTTGCTGTAACTCGAGGAGCATTTCCTCTTAACTACAACATGATGACAATTAAAACAAGTTATGCAAGGTGTGGATGTTCTTGAGAAGAGATGTCAAATTTCCCCAGAAGGTAGAAGCTGCAGCTTGAATGAGAGGCACAAAAACACTGCAAGCACACACCATCTCCCACCTCAACAACTGTTTGCATTTGCGCTCGTGTGCATGAATGTAAACAGTTGGCACAGGTGTAAGAGCATGGTGAGCTGCCTGATACTGAATGGGATTTGTAAACAGTGTTGCCCTGCAGTCATGATAAGCCTTCAAAGAGGTGTTGGTGGGAAACACAAGAGTGTTTTCCATACGAATTAAAGGTTAACGGATGTAGCGCTATTTTCAGCTCACAATTTGCTTCTGGATAGCGGGTTCAAAATACACTATTCTTGTGACGCTTTCATATTTTGGGTTAATGGGTATTGTCCTGGATAGCAAATAGACCCTTGAACACTGCGGTTAAAATTCAAACTGAAACCCATTAATGTACAACAGAACAACTTTGGCCTGCATGTTTGATTTTTTTCCTACATTCTCTTAAAGTTGTCATTTTCACACGACAGTCAGCAAACTGTATGTACATATTTTGTTACACAGCTGATATTTGGTACTACGACATACTGCCGGGCAATAAACCACGCTACCATGACCTGCTAGTTACTGTGTAACATTTGAGCAACACAACCTTTTAATATGCAAACTACTCAACAGCTTCAAAATGTCACGTAGGCCAAGTATTTTATTTGAGTAATATTAGCAATAATACAAAATTTTGTGTCAGCATTGCTCTTCAAGTGGTGAAACATCACAGAAAAATGCACCTACAGAAAAAAACAAACACAAGAACAATAACAGAGTCCACATACTTCAAGGCCCTTCTGAATTACATAATACTGCCATTATCTCTGCTGCAATATATAATGAATATAAAGTTTATTGAACCCCTATGTCTGTCTTACTGATTAACTTTTTTTTATTTATATACGGGCCCTTTTCACCAGAGAGGCCAGCCGAGGTAAAGTGAGCTTCAAGTTATGCCATTCAGTACTCGGTGCTATAAAAATGCTACCTACTATACAAGTGGTACTACGCACTATATGGGCACCATGATGTCAACCTGCATCTTATTCTCGGCCGCTCTGTTTTCCCCAACCCTCTCTCATTTCGTCCCAACTAAAAATAAGTAGGGCTGCCTCGCATGCCGGCATCGGTCCCCTGCCTATTACGCTGATGATCGCTGAAACAATGTCAGAAATCGAGGAAGGTAGACAGACCCTGAGCACACACCCTGTCATCAGAGCAGGCACATCTTCTCTGGCTTTCCCCCCTTCTCAGTGTACACGTCAAAGAACAGGTTTCATAAGATGAAAAGGCTTATGACTGTGTTTCAATGGTCGGCTTGCCCTTTATACAACCAGCACTGGAGACTACAAAGACCAGGCTTTGCTGATAATCTATACAAATCAGAAGTCTTCTCATATGGCAGGACTATAAAGGTGGTTATTCTGGTGCTATCTTTAGCACTGGATAACATGTGATGGCAGTGCATTGTATTTTTATGCAATGGAACATGTGGCTTTGTAATTCAGCACAGGTTTAAACTTGAAGCCTGGTTTGAGAAGTGCAGTGACCCGTGTAAAATCCTAGTCAATGCTGTCATTTACACCATTAACGTGGCAAAACCTTAATCAAAGATTCAGCAAACTCTAGTCGTTATCACCAGAGAACCAGACAGAAGGCCCCGTCTCACCTTGTCGTCCTGAGCGGCAGCCCTTCGAGAGGCATGATGGGATCTGCGGTCTGGGGATGACTTGGGCCGAGGAGGTGGGGATGAAGACGAGGGCTCATCCTCCTCTACCTCCTCCAGCACCACGATACACACACGGCTAGCCCGCTCTGACCGCATCAGGAACAGACATTCACACACCACACGATCGCTCACACACTCGCTCTCTCGCACTCACACACATAAATACACAGTGTTCCTTCTTACATATGTGCGCAAATCAGGAGCGCAAAGGTCAGCAATAAATCCCATAGACATGGTGTTCTCCTCGCAAGCAAACGCTGCACATCTTCATGTAAAATCCACTGTGAAATCCAGCTCTGTCCTCTATCTGTCAGTGTTGCTTTGCTGCATGTCTCTTCTCCTCCTCTCTCCTCTCCTCTCAGCCACACTCACACTCTCTGCGAGCGGCAGTAGCAGAGACGGCAGGGAATTCCTCTGCGTAATGGTGGCGGTAAAAGAGGCATGCGGCAGAATGAGCCTGGGCTGCCTAGCAGCACACAGGAAGCTACATATCCTCACTGCTGTGCTGCAGCCAGTCACACACACACACGCGTACACACATCTGATGCAAATGCGCACACACACACACACACACACACACACACAAACGAGACCCTGTGATTAGCGTGAACGGGGGCAGCAGCACCCAATGTATGTGTGGGTATGCATCGCTCATTTCAGGCAGACTGCTGAAGCCAGCTCTTTCAAAAGAAGAGACAGAGAGAGGGAGAGGAGGGGCAGGGGGAGGGGAGAGAGAGAGAGAGAGAGAGAGAGAGAGAGAGAGAGAGAATGAAAGAGAAAGGGGGAATAAGGACAGGAGCGTGAGAGAGGGAGAGAGAGAGAGAGAATAATTGTAGGCAGGTACTTAGAGTCCTAAAGAACACAAAGAAACCTGGAGATGAATTGTGCAAAGAACAAAAATAGGACAGAGGACAGCAACGGGTGCAAACTCGAATGCAGAAAAAAAATTGCTAACAGAGGAAACAGAGGAAAGAAATAAAAATATCCATGAGACAGTTCATGGGTATGTGGTGCTGCGACCAGTTTTAAGTGTCCAAATAAAAGTGAAAGTGTAAGGATTTGATAGGAGACAACAATAGTGCAACATTATCTGCCCTTTTTGTTGAATGCTAGCTCCAGCAACCAAAGCCTTGTTGTTTGTTGAGAGAAATAACACAATGTGGATATCTAAATGTTTACAAATGTATCACATGATGGCTCAGATCCTTGTTTTATGGATTTATTGCTCATCCAACAAAGATCTTGTGTTATTGTGCATTAAAAAAAATTAGATGAAACACAGACAAGCTCCTTATAATTTGCTAAACGGCCAAGCCTGAGTCCTGTATAAAGCTCCAACCAACACAGCACTGTAAAAACAAAACCATGTGTGCGACAATGTGCTGCTGTTTTTAGGAGTTGCTAAATAAGAATTAAGTGGTCCGCAGGTTCATAAAGTTGGTGCTGAAATAGAAATGCCCTTTCCCTCTAAATGTGGAAGAATAAAAGAAAATGGATTCCAGATTGATGTGTGTCCATGTACGAGTGTTCCAGTATCCTCTTTGGTGTATCGGTGGCATAGCTTCAAAAGTCCCCATCTCCTCATTATAAAACTGGAACAAACTGGCTTTGCCAGAGAATGTGAGGGTAGCTAACAAGACCAGTCTGTACGGGCATGTCTGTGTGTGTCTCAGTCTCCTTCATATTCAACACAGACCCTAAAGAGAGCAATCTTGCCAAGCCACACAACCCCATTAACTCAGAGGGAGGGACAGCGCAAGGGAGGGCGAATGAGAGAGAGAGATTCATTTGGATGGAGTCTTGGTGCAGGCCTACGTTTTCACTCTAATGGCCTTACCATTTAAAAACTTAATATGAAACACAGCCTTCAGTCTTTCTGCTCCTACAGCAAACCGAGTTGACGGAACAGATTTGATTCAAAGACACAAACAAAGAATGATGTTTGGGAAGCAAAATTTCTACACAAACAACCAATGTTTTGTCTATCCCACTTGCTAGCACTGGGGATACTCTGAGCAGTGCCGCCCAAAGATATTTACAGAGCAGATTTGGTGTAATCTGCCAAACAGAAATGAGTCTTCCTGTAAACTGTTTGTGTATTCATGTGCGTTTGAAGATGTAATCAGGACTCAGCGGCAAAAGCCGAGCTAAGAAAGCATGCGGAGTAGGTTGGACGGCTTTCACATACAGTACATGAGTGACCAATAAGGATAAGCTCAACGAGAACAAAAATTGTGATGTATTGGTCTTGTGTTTCCATGAGGTAAGCAGAGCCTTAAATGCCTGCTCCATTAATGCTGAGCTGGGACAATAGGAAAAACATCCAAAGGTGAACCCGATCTACCGCAACAACAAGAGGACGCAGTCACAATATTATCACAAATACACTTTCTGTACAGCCGACCGACTACTTTATAAAAAGGATGACGTGAGAATGCATGAGTGAGAGCATGCAGGCTTGCTCTGACCTCTGCTCTGACCCAGCCACAGGATGCACTTTGTAATGTAATCCCAGTGCAGAAACACAAAGGCCAGCACGTGTCGGTGGGTGTGTGAGTGTGTGTGTGCGCGCTGGCACTCACACACACACAGCAGCAGCAATGAAGATGCTGACATCTAGAGATTTCAAAGCTTTTACAGATCAAGAGGGCAATGTGAATCAAAGCTTTACTGCTGTGACTCTACACGTATGGTATGCGTACTCCGACCACCGTGACATGCTATCCATTACGCGCTCTAACTAAAAGCCAAAGAGATGACATGCCAATAAATAAATCTGGACTTACATAACTTAATTTTAATGCTTCTGAATACACACAGTCATCAATATGGATTTAGTATAAGATGCTACTTTTCATTATGTTAAAATGAATTAATTCTTCTATTTATCTTGCTGCTGTGTGAACTTTTACAATGTTGTTGATGATGTCTAATGACTGGCCTGGCACGGTCTCAATAACTCATTCAGCAGACAGCCCTGTCAGGAAAAACAACCGTGCTGTTTAACTTGTACACAAATATGCAAGACGCGACATGTTGCTTTGAGGCTTGTTGGCTGTGAGCAATTTGTTTCTCATGCATCACCGTGGATATGTCTGCTAAGTCCCAGGCAAATAAACACCTACAAAATTACAATAAGTATGTCTACTTTTACTATTTCTTTCATCAGTCAGGGCCACAGCCTGGTTAGGAGACTCTGGCATGTTCCTAAGCAACACACGCCCTCTAGGGGACAAACAGGAGCCTTGGCCAAAAGTGACACTCATTCTTGTCTCCAGTTTGGCCCCTCTGAGTGTGACTATTTTTGTCCCTTTGTCCATTTCTCCGTCAGCAAGCAGCAGAGAGAACAATAGAGAATAGAGAGGGGATCTAATCGCAAACACTGTTCCGTTTGTTGCGTGCCTGCTGCTAACTGCCCGGAAGACTGGTCAGTCCAGGACAGGCCACCGGGCTGGATAATCACTCACCCGCTTTGATGTCCATTTAGATTTTTTTTACTCACCTGCAATGAGCTGCAAAAATACTAATTATAACCATTTAATCCTACTCTGAAATAAAACATAGTAAGATTCCTCAGCCTTTTCTGATGTCATTCACTCATAACATATTGAATTACAGATAAATGCTGCAGTCAACAAGATGCAAAACATGATGACAAATAATCATCTAACAATATTTGTATTTCGTTAACTCCCTTTGAAGTGTCATGCAACATACAAAGTCATGTCAATGTGATTGGCTTCACTTGGAAAAAAATGGGCCAAATTGTGGGAAATGACAAAGGATAGATCCATCAACAAACAAATCAACTTGTGTGACTGAAACAACAACAGCAGTGTAATCCACCACTTATCTACCACTGAATGTGCCTCACTGGGGGATCACTGTCTTCAAGGCAGCAGCGTCCGCAACAGCTGATCTGAGCCTGGGGGACGGTGTCTAATACGTGGGCACAGCTGTGGACTTAAGAGCCAGCACCACCTGCTATTTTAGTCTGACAGCTTTTCTTATTTCCAGCAACAGGTGACTGGCCATAGCTGCCCCGGAGAAAATGTGAGGGGAGCTGAAACAAGGACAGCTGACAAAGCAAACTCCCTGGGCAGGGAAAAAAATTTTAAAAATCGGCCTCGAGTCACTTAATTCGGAAATATGCACTCCAATTCAAGATGATACGTGTCAGGAACTTGAAGTTAATAACCCTGTAATGGGCGGAAAAGCTCGTGATGGGTCTTGCGTGAGTCAAAGTTGCTAATTGACATTAGCTGGGCAGCGGAGTTAGCCTCCCTGATAAGCTATCCAGCTGTGTTCATCGGTCCATCACCACTAGAAGCAGCAACAGACACTAACAGTGAAAAGCACCGGAGAAAACCCACAAACGACGGGTTTTACCACTGATTTGACACCAAACTGTTTCAACTTAACTAAGTTAACGTGAGGCAACAGGTGACGAGGTGTTAGCATGCTTCTTATGTTAACTGTTTACTGGTAACCGCTAGCTAGTTGGCTAACATGTCAGATGTTCGTTGACTTAATGATAACAGCGGCGCAACATTAGCTTAGCCTTTAGACCTTAATTTTCCCATTTACGTGTATCAGACGGATTTAAGTCACCACAAGGAAACTGTTTAATGATAGCAAAGTTAGGCTATGACTTAAATGAACACACACAGCGTTGACTAACTGCATATGCTGGGAACAAAACTGCCGCGAATCAGTTTTTACAACAAGTTGAGTTTAGCTAACTAAATGTTAGCAAGATGTGCTAGTAACATTACCTGGTCTTGTATCTTCAACACAGCCATATTCCCCGAGTGAAGCCAAAAGGAGGCAGCAACTCGCCCGGGAGTTACTGTAAATTATCCGGGGGGAAACTGAGAGAGGACAGAGGCTCCGGAGCAGCTTCCCCCCTCTTCCTGTCATGGACAAAGTCTCCACGTTACGGGAGACAAATGACAAAACGGGACCAAAACACCAGCAGTCAACAAACTGCGGTCAGCAACAGTTGGAGCGGCTGCAGGGACCGTCCAGCCAGCTGCAGCAGTGATCGCTCTACAAGTTTGCATTTAACCACTGTACTCCTTGTGTTGCTTTACATCTCTATAAAATCAGGATTTTGTTCCCCAATACCCCCAAAATGTCAGTGTGCAAAAGCATATTTCCACATAGATTCATGCATCCATAACAATTTAAAGGAATTCCAATATTTATTACACATGTATAAAAAAAAGTCCAAGATTTTAAAAAGCACATTGATTTTAATTTGATGCCATAATAATAAACGCTTTTCATTCAAGACCAATAACACTTGATGCAGCTTCAAGTACTGAGTTGGGATTTGATTGTATGAAGGAAACAACCCTTTAAAATGGAATATTTCAAATAAATAATTATTTCACCACTTCAGATAGTCTAACAACAACGTTTTCTAAAAGACATGAAAAAAGACATGATAATTCAATACATGCCATGAATTATGTTTAAACAAATATGATGTATTGAAACTGTAAAAACATCAAAATACCGACTTGAAACCAATTTGAATAATGATTTTGTGCATAAGATGTATAAAGTCACTGATAATCCAAACTAAATTATCACTCAATAAATTAAGGAAGAGAATTGTGAGATGTCAAGAAGAAAGCCGTCCTGGTGATGAACAAAGATGCAGAGAGTCTTAGTTAACCAGCTTTGAATCAGCAAAGCGTGGTGTCTGTTAGAACCTGCAAGAACCACAAAGGATCAGTCAGAAACCAGCGATCACAGTGGTCTAGCAATTATTAACCCAAAGCTGTTTATTAAATTTAAACCAGGCTTTACTCGGTCCTGAGACTGATGTGAGACCGTTACCTGTTTTTGTATCCACCTGAAAGACTTTTACTTCCAAACTGATTATGCAACAAATATACAAAAAGAAATATGACTTAGAAGTTTTTTTTAAGTTTTTTTATTGGACATTAAGTCTCCAAAATTGTAAGAGTCACAATACCAAAAAATTTATATAATAATAACAATAAATAAACATACTGACCAACACTCTGCTTTCTCACTTTAGTACAATACTGGGCGTCTGTAAAACAATACACTTCACTGTAGCCGGTCAGTGAGGTTTTGGTGTATTTCTGGACATGTGTATTATTTCCCCGTGCTGTAGTATTTAGGCTGATGACATGACAGTTAGGCCTTTAGGTCTGTGGAAGCTCCGGTGCCGTTTCAGGCGGGATAAAGTAGAAAACTGTTTACCGCATGTCCCGCACTTTCTTCTCTTGGCGTGGCTTTGTAGGTGTTGAACTAAGCTTTCTGTAGTCTCTAAATGTTTCCCACAAATCCCACAAATGCAGGTTTTATCCTTTGCGTGTGTTTGCACGTGTGTCCTCAGTGTGTACATGTAGTGGAAAATCTTCCCACAAGCCTTACAGCAGAAAGAACCTGTGGGGTTCTGACTGGCAGGTAACGCTGTTGACTTTTTTATGTTCACACGGGGTGAAGATCTGCTCACGCGCTTTTTCCTCTTGGAGTTGAGCGCCTTTACATTTGAACAATGTGTCTGGGGCTTCCTCTGCTCCAGAGTCTTGGTGTAGCTTCCATTCTCAGCGATAGTACTGGTGTGCTGAGAGCTCCCTGCTGGCTCCACTGTTTTACCAACCTCACCATCAGGCGGGGTTTCCACAGCCCGAGCTGAAGAACGAGGAAGACGGTGTCCCCTGCTGCTTCTGACGCTGCTGATTTCACCAACATCTTGGATGTAACTGTCCACATAGACGATGTTGAACGCAGAGTTTTGGGCGTGATTCAGCTCTCGACTTTGGTCTCCCATTTGGTCGTTTCTATTTTCTATCCCCTGACCTTTGGTGTGCAGTTGTTCAGAGCACTGTTCCTCTCGATAGCTCACTGAGGATAAAAGGAAAACAAAAACATCACATGCATTTTTTAAAAAAATGTGTTGTATTTAACTGTGAGTCTGACAGAGCTCTTCTACCACACCTTGCTCTGATTCCTCTTTAAGCCGAAGCAGCAGTGAGGCCTGTTGTTCCTCCTGGTCCAGACTGCAGAGGCCCTGATGACACCAGGGTTCAGGACTCAGGGGCACCTCTTCCTCAGACACAGAGGGTTGGTTGGTCTCTAGCATAAACAACACAACAATCAGTCACAAACAGTGAATTATGCATTTCTCGAAGTTAAAACACAACCATTATTCAGCAGCCTCAGTAACTTAGTACATGCTTCTAATGCCAGACAGCGGAGGGAAAACAGCTGACATAATGACCAAATGTACCAGAGTCAATCACACTAATAACAACGCAGGGTTTACGGTCTGTCTGTGGCAAATGACCTGCCTATTAAACCAGTTTTAAAATCTGATTTTGTCATTTTAATTATTCAAAATGCACAAATTAACAAGAAAACCTCGCTTTTCTGAATATAAGTTCCAAAATAACACCTTTCATGTTGCAGTGTTAAGCTTACAGTCATAATGGTTGCAGTGTTCTGAAACCCAAATAACTCTAAACTACTAATGTGTAATAAGAAATCATCTCCTTTAACTCAAAGAAATTACTGATGCACGATTGTGTAGAAGACAGGCGTTGCTTAGATAGGTGCAGGCGCTTAATTTGCTTCTTTCCTACTTGTGCAGTAAATTGTGCAGTCTTTACAGCATCCTTCTGAGAGTGTAGTAGCAGATAATAAGCTATTTGTTAATACCTAAAGGTTATCAGACATGTTTGTTAACTCACCTGCATCTTGGCTTTGCTGCAGTAGTGCATAACCTGTAAAGTAACAAGACGCTGTAGTGAGTAATATAACTAGAACGTTAGTAATGGCGTTATAATAAAGCAATTATGTGAAGCAGAATTAAAAACATGCTTTTACAACTAAACATAGGAAAGGTAAAACGTACCATGCTGCTTCGATAGGTGGACTTCAAAGTTACACTTCCGATAAATGATCTTTTTGCAGTATGGGCAGTGCCAGTGACTTCTGCCCTGGATCTTGTCTTTGCACATGCACGGGACAACAAACTTTTCTGAAAAGACAAAAAAAAAAACGTAAATCGCGGGACACTTATGAGAACATTGTTTTTGCATGTTTGACAACACTTCCATTCTTTTAAAAAATTAGCTCGCGTACTTGAAAATCGTTTGACTAAGAGAAACGATTACAGTCCACATGTACAATTACTTCTTATCAAAATTAATAGTTTTAATCAGCGTGGTTTTGAAAAAGTCCAAGATAAGTGACATAAGATTTCAAAAGTGCTGCATTCATTGATTTTTTTCAATCAAACTGGATGTTTTTGACTTTTGTGGCATGAACTAAAGTCAGTGCACCCCCCCAAAAAGTCTTAATGCATCTAAAACGCTAAGTTAAAAATTGTCAGGAAGTGATGTTGAACAGTTGCTCTGCTTTGGTGAGCAAACTAAAGAATCAAACATGTTCAAGTACTAGTTTACTAAAGATGAAATGAGTGCTGCATGATGGCTGATCTGACAGGGTTTTTTAATGTGGCAAGTAGAAGTACAAACAAGATCCAGAACGTCTTGCTTGATATCATCTAGTGCAAACAACCATTAATAAAAACCAAGGCACTCCTCCTTTAGATGAAACAACATCATTGATTTTCTCTAGAAGCAAACAAACAGACTAATGCCGATTGCTTTTAGGTTTTTATCAGCGTCTGACAAACACATGATCAGTGTGAATTATTTACCAGCAGCTAGTTTCATTTTACTCAGCGTTTGTGCCTCAGTGTATAACCCATAGAGGGCGCTAAGATAAAAGCAGAGGCCCTATGTATGCTGAAAAGGTAAAACTACAAACATGCAATAAGGCATCCTGTCACTGTTTTTTTACACTGAGCTAAAAAGCAAAACACGTCTATTAACCAAAGTATACGAAACCAACTTCACGTATTGTCAATTCATTTTCCCATGATCGTCTACATCACATAATATTAAGCAAGTGTTCCTAAGTTTTCTTTTCTAATGTTCAAATATTATCTATGACGTCTCACAGACAAACTAAACCTACTGTAGTATGGAACTTTATTCCCTGGTTGTCCTCTTAAATGATAAGGTAATGCTTTGATCTTAATAAAAACTGAACTTACCAGTGCCATCCTGAAAATGGACAGCAAACAAATAATGCCGTCTCATCAGATGTGTCTCAGTGCCTTGTATTCTCTTGAGGCAGTAGGGGCAGTTCTCATTGGCTGCATACTTTAGAAAGTCTTCACATGAGGTGAAGACACACTGCAAGCCTGGAAAGTAAATCAGGATCTAATTTTAGGATTTTAAAAAGCAGGACGCTATTTAAAGAATGAGTAGAGACACAGCAACAGTTGTTGGAGACCGAAGCTCATAATCTTGCCTGGTAGGACTTCTACTAATTTTTTTTCTTTTAATACAGAAGTAACACTTTGTCGAACTTTACCAAGGAGCTTAATAAATTAATGGTAGTGAAGAATCTTGTTGGAAGCAAGTCCTACCACTGGGAGAGTTGAACGGAGCTTCTCTCGCCTTGCGTTTTAATCTTGCATCTAATGCATGTGGGCCAGCAGCAGCAGCAGCATCAGGGGGGCTTCTGTTGGCAGGAAATGCTGGAGAGGAAAGTGTAAAACAAGACTGGTTGGAACTAAGGACTGAGACGACAAGTATTACACTGTAATGACATTTATATTTTCTTGTGCCATTGGTACAAATCAAAATTATAGCAGCAAAATAATGTATGCAAGTAACAGTACATCAGGACTGGAATTGGAGCGCTAGTAAACAGAGTAACCGTGATCCAGAGACTCAGGCTTGGGACTGTCCACTGTCTGTTGTGGACCCATAGGAGACAGTACACACCTGATAGCAGCTGCCCCAAATTAAAAATAAATAAAAACTCTTTTGGGGAAATTATACACCAAACAACAATAAATTCATTATATTAATGTGACATTTTGACACCATTTAGGTTCACACAGTGAAAGTGAGCATCACAGCTGTAGTGCACTAGAAGCCTGCAACTGTGCTGTACGATGTGCAATAATGGCATTCCATTATTACTATTGTTATGTTTCCATTACTGTTATCATTATTGTTACTCTCTTTCTATTATAAACAATACATAATTGTACAGTAAGTTATTTTTATTATTATTTCTAATATGGCACCGTGCTGCTACTGTCACTGTGTTATTGTGTAATGTATATATACACATATGTATATTTATATATATATATATATATATATATTAGAAACACCTCTATATTTTATATACTCAACTATATTTACCTATAACTACACTGATTGTTATCATATTATATAGCATATTATTATTACATTATTATTACTACTACTACTAGTATCACACCGTGCTGCTGTTCCTAACACTTTGTTTCCTTGTCTACTACTTTTTTCCTTAATTTACGTGTGCTACTGTCTTTGTCGGTGTTGTGCTGTTTCTAGAACAACAGTTTCCCTGAGGTACCCCTACCAAAGGGATCAATAAAGTTCTATCTAATCTACTAGGAACTTCCACAATTCATGCAAATGCTACTGGCAGTAGGCAGTAATAAATATGACAATGATTTAACTGTCAAAACATGCATTGCTGTAGCCACCAGAACTTGCACGCTGCTATGACTTCATGATATCACAGGTGATGAGTTTCACAAGTCTTATCTGACCTCTTTGAAGGGTTATAAGTGGAGACAGCAAAGAGAAACGAAGAGAACATTTACAGTCAGCTGGAAGTTCTAAATACTTACTTTACAATTTCGTGATGCTGTGTGGAACATACTGTGTTGTACATTTATTCTTAAATACCACTGTAAACTGTAATCAGCAGCTGTCATTCATGATAAGACGGCTGAGATGCACCTGCTGCTCTACAGGTTTGCACACCTGTAAGCCTCAGTGATGCTAAGCTAGCGGTGCTATCAGTGCAGTCAGTGTTTAGTGTCTAAGAATTTAGTGAGGTGGTTAAGCAGCGACACGAACTGTTTTTATTTCTGTTATGTGGCACAATAGTCGTGTGAGTCGCTCGGCCGGACCAACCTTCTGTCTGCACTAACTTGGATTTGAGGATAATGTCCAGCAGGGAGCGGTGGCGCTCGTTGTCCTCCTTCAGACGGGACGTTTGCTCCTCGTAACCAGTGATTGTTTTGTCAATAGCTCCTAATATTTCAGAGGCAGCAGCGTGCAGCCGCTCGGAGACGAACACTTTCAGTTCCTCGATTTGACTCATCTTTCGGTACCTGGTTGCGGGCAAGCTAGCAATCCTGCTAATAATATGTATGGTCACGTGACCTCCGGAGCGGAAGTTGGTCTTGTCTTGAGCATTGCGCATGTGCGCTGTTGTGGCAGAGTTGATGGCTAGTATTTAATTTATAACACACTTGGTTTGAGATTTAGGATACTTCAGAAGATTATTGACACACACAGAGGCGTTGTTAAGAGCTTGAAACAGAGTTTAGTCCAGCCCCCCAATTTTAACCTTATATTTACACCTTTTTCAAGATCTAAATTAGTTCTAATTAGGTGATGTCTGACAAACCTGTATTCTGGGCAAACTAAGGTCATCCCACTTCCTTTGACAGGAAGTGCAGCCTAGCTACACTAATTACTATTTATTTACACCTATAATCCTACAAGCTGTGCCACATTGTTCACCACTTTTCAAGATTATAATTCACTGGATAAGTTGACATTATCCTAACCCCAGGGACAGTTCAGTGTACATGTTATATCAAGATGCAATATATGAGTTATTAAAATAAAATATTAATTTGAGCAACCAACCCTTTAACCCTATTCGGGACTTTTGGGGTCTTTTGGACCCCAGGCCATGTTGTTTAGGTGACAGTTTTTGTTTTTTTTATTTTTGAAGATTTTTTTTTTAATGTAAAAGAAGAGGGACATTTGTCGTGCATTTGGAGCCAAAAATACATCAACTTTTATTGTTGATTTTAACTTATATTGCACTTGTCTCCCGCTTGACTTCTAGCGTTAAAGTCATACAACACTTGCCAAGGGTTGTTCTGTTATCAAGGTTTCAGTGACTGATCCACACAACAGCATGGATCCAAAATTCTTCACCTAATAGATAAAATATTTGGCCTAAAATGTGGCTAGTGGGGACAAATTTTGTCTTAGCAATGAAGTTAAGGAAGTTTTCTTTCAATATCTTGAATCAAATATAGCCGACAAAAATGATGAAAGAGATACAGAGATAATATTTGATATTCTTGTAACTCTGAAAGTAATAATATAGACAACATGTTTTTTTTATTTTACTGGATTGTATTTGGCCTCAATAAAGTCCATGTTTCTGCACAGATATCATACATGCATCAATTCATTCACAACTTAAGACCCACGTGGTTCCCTTTATGTTTATTCTGCACAAAGGAGGTGGAGTCATTTTCTTATTAATTTTCTGTTAATGTTCAAGTAACACACACACTCAAATCTCATCCTGGGTCTATTACCCAGTCACACAGCAAGCAACAAAACACAATCAACTGACACTTTCATATTTTTTATTTTGTCCATGTCCATGTTTTTCCTTCTCAGTACAAAAGATCATGAAGCCATTTGAGGCTGGCAAAAAGCTCTCCATGATTTGTCTAATTCTATAAAAAAAAAAAATCCCTCAGCATTCTGAAAATACTGTTGCAGGAAATCTTGTCAGTAAAGATGAGTGGTGACTCTCTGTTGAGAGTCAAACATACAGTACCTTTGTTATGATTTTAAAAGCAAATAGACAGTAGATATTAGTAACAATCTTACGCTGTTGCAAGCACATTATGTAATCATTAGCTGTCTATTAGTGTGACAGATCTGATTCGATATGTAGCTATAAAGCATCGTTATACTTCATCTCAACCGTAACGGAGATAAATGGTCACAGCGTACTTCACACAATGTGTCCTCAGAGTGTTTCGGCGTCTTCTTGTGCTCCAGCGGGAACCTCAGAGTACCATTTTCTGCATGTCATGGAGGAGGGATCGCAGGTGTATCCGTACTGACAGCAGTGCCTGCCATCTCGACAGCACTGGCCCTGAAATCAGAACGAGTCTTGGTGTTAGAACAGAACACTGACTGATAAGTTGCAGCACATTTGTTTCTATGCTTGTGATGAGAACGCACACCGGCATGATGTCGATCACTAGCCTTCTGTATTTCCCAAAGCACTTTAACCAGACTGTTCAGATCATTGTGTCATTTTTTCCTAGATATCAATAATGCATGATAACTTATCTCCCTCCAACTCTACGACGATGGAACAACTGCACAATCCGTACCAGTGGGTGGGGACAGCAGCCCCATCTGCCTGTGGGTCCCTTGCAGCAGGTTTGCCCTTGCTGGCAGTAAAACCTGTTATCGCAGCGAATGACTCCAGCCTCAGGGGCGCTGTTGCTGAGGGCCTCGGTTAGAGCCGTTATCGGTTCCTGCCAAGTGGGAAAGAGAACGTAATCATTATACACTGTGGCATTAAATTTAATTTCTGTCTAAGGAACAAAGTTGAACCTGCTTTTGCTGATTCTTTCAGCCAATTAAAAATGACAATAACATATTTTATTTTACTCACAGTTAAGCCACATTCACTTTAATGGATGTAACTCAACTATTCAAGAGTGGCTCTTCAGCTGCTGCGCTCACCAGCTAATTGCTGATTTGTCCGTCTGCAGGTTGTTGCTGGCTAAGCAGTGTACAGTGAGTTTAACAGAGCTTTCTTTTTTTTGGCAACATAGTTTATGAAAAAGGTGAGACTGAACCAAAACAATAGAGCTGCAGACGGTAAAATGAGAAGTGACCAAAAAAAAAGGTGCTGAAATGCTGCACAGAGCGGAGGGAAGCAGTAATAATCAGTAGACAAACATTCATTAAAGTCCCCCTCTAGTCACTGAATAAACCACTAAAAGCTCATATCTATGTATTGTTTTGTTAAGTACAAAACCCCAGCTGCCTGAATCCATATTTGTGAGACGGTGCTTTCAAGCAGTGACAAAACCAGAATGGCTAACCTGAGACTATTACTCACAGTGTGGTGGCACAGGAAATTATGTCTTGTAGTCTCTGCTCTGCATGGCAAATCACTGTCGATCAAATGGTATTTATTTTTTTGTTACTTGCTTTTATTATTTGCTAACGTAGGCATGACTGAGCTGTAACAGAACCCCCTGAGGAGTCATATATTATAGGCTTTAAATGTAACCCTCAATTTATTTGAAAAAAAATCTGGAAGAGCAGTCTTAGTTTAAATTGTTGATTTGCAGATTTAAACTATAACTGAACCTCCATGAGCACTTCACTGTTGGATGTGTGGGGCGGCCAGAGGAATCACTTTGGGATCGACTGTTTGTTTCACTCATATGTCTTCTAGCATATTAGACTATACATGTTAACAAGGTAAAAAGAAAGAAACAACTTGACTTTTACCAAAAGGGGACTTTCGAAACACAGCTTTTCTGATTCATTAAAACTGCGTGGTGTGATTTTGATCATATGACAGCAGTGTTGCAACATGAGCAAACAAGTCCACTGCTATCATAACATTTAGATTGCAGCATTAGGAGCCTCACCCATGTCATACCCGTGAACAAAGCGAGGACGAAAACAGGAACTAATCCCAGGACACACTCTGTGCATGAAGGTAGATGCGGTTTGGGGTTTCTTACCTCGTCCAAGCTGCTGTTGTCCTCTGGAGTTGAAGTGAGGGAGGCAGGGACTGAAGACAGAGCTTGTTTGGAGGGGAAAGGATACCTCAGGGTGGTTCTTATGCAGTGCGTGTAAGTGAGGTCACAGTCGTACCCGTATGGACAGCAGTGGTAGCCGTCCGCACAACATCTCCCCTGCAAGGAATACATTTAATATATCAGTCAATAGAAAAACAGCATTAATAATGTGGCACTGTTTCAGTGGCAGCAGAGGAAGACTCACAGGAGAGTAGGGGCAACAGAACCAGGCGCCTTTGGGGTGCCTGCAGCAAGTGGTGCCGTCGGGACAGTGGTAGTAGTTGTCACAGTGGACAATCGTGCTCTTCACTTGCTCGGGGACGTTTTCGGACTCCTGAAGAGGAATCACAGGTAGAACGGGGCTGCTGGGCTCCTCGGCGGCCTCCTTCTCCGCCATGGGTATGCTCAACCACGGCTGGTCGGCTTTCTGACACTGCTGGGTGGCCAGGTTGCAACGAAACCCTGCGGGGCAGCAGTGGGCCAGGTCAGAGCAGCACACGGCCTGCAGGCACCCAGAGGGAGGAAGAGTTAATGCCAAGGAGCATGATAAAAAGTTTTTAATATCAAGCTGCTTCACATCTGATTCACCTTTGGGTATGGACAGCATTGGTATCCACGTGCGGTCAAGCAGCAGGTGGTCAAATCGGGGCAACGGTTCCCATCTGGACATCTGACGTCGCACAAAGCAACGCCTGACACCAGCACTCCCACTAACAACTGCAGAGTGATCCTCAACATCTGGAGAGGGACACACAAAGATGCTTTTTATGCAAGTAAATATGATTTTTGTTACTATTATTATTCATATTATTAACACAAAGCTGCTAGGCATTGTGTGGCCTACTTGTGAAACCCCCCTTTTGTTGCTGTAACTTTCAGTTTCCTTTCAGCACATTCTTGAAACTCCCTTTCACTCACCACAGCTCCACTGAACCGCTATCATGAATGTAAGCTGTTTGTTAAAGCGTAGCACCAGTGAGCAGCTTTGCAAAAGAAAACAACGCCTCAAACGGATTCAAAGTTTCTTACCTTCACCGCGAAGTGATTCAACAGCCTCTCGTTGTCCGTCTCACACTTCCACTGAGCAAACAGTCTTTATAGAGCAGGTTAGGACCTCCCACTCAACAAAAGCTGGAAGTTCAAATGTCTTTCACACCCTTGTGTCCCGTGACTTTTAGATGAGGACGGAAAGGTTTCTGTAACTACAGTGAGAGTTCATGCCGACTGGTTAAACTTGATCTATAAAGCAGGGTTTGGTGAGATTTGTGAGGCTACACACACACACATACAGTCTCTCAACTGAAATGAGTTTATGACTTGAAAGCCTTTATGGGCTCACATTAACCTTTGATACCATGCGTTGTTTTCATCACAAGACCTACATATAAAGTCTCATTTGAAAACCATGGTGCTTCCTGATAAAGTTTTTTTTATTTTGAAGGAATTAGGCCAAATGTTTCCAACTTTTTATCCTTACATGACCTTTAAACTCACAGTGGGTGAGAGTTTTTAGGCAATTCTATACTGATTTGCATGGTTTGATCAATGAAAAATAACATATTTTTACACAAGTACTGTATTTCTGCACACATTTAAGGTATTTATATGTCCCTTGAGTATATCCTGTCATCTTCTACTTTCTGTTTTACTCCATTTTGGAGGGAAAACGCACTTTTTAGTCCACTGCAGATATGTTTCTACTTTTAAGAAAAATGTTCATCTCAAACAAGGTTGTCCATTAAAATGCTGCTGAAATGTGAAAGTAATAATCCAAAAAATGTGACGATAATCAGAACAATACAACAATCTGAACAGGAGTCATTCTGCATGATGAGTAATGTTACTCTCTGATACATTAGGTATGTTTTGATATTGAAAGTAAATATTTTCAGGGGGCATTTTTATGCCTTTATTTCATGCAGATGGTGTAGAAAGACAGTAAATGTGGGAAAAGAGAGTAGGATGTCACAGCACTTGCTGCTTATAGTTTTTACACGCTTCTAACTGTATCTTTGCACAGCAGTAGTACTACTTTTCATTGGTTTCAAGATCTTTAAAAGCCTTTATGGGGCAGGTGACCATATTTGGTAACTTCCTTGGACGTTCACTATGTCCACCTTGTGGCTCTCCATGAGGTTGAAGAACCATGTGCACTTTGATTTAGGTTTTATATTAGTGCCAATATCACCACCCCAAGAAAAACGTCACTAAACAAATGCTCCAGGCACTTTATAAACGCCTTGTTACTGGTTTACATTGAACTCCACTTTGATTTAGTTTTTGAGATTCGTGCCAAAACCACGACCCCAAGAAAAATGTGACTAAATGAACTTGTGAAGCACTTTATAAACACTTTGTTGTGTAAGTATCATTACCTCAAACTAAAACATTTCTAAACCACACATGGTAACTTTATTAGTCTATCTAAATTTCTTAATTTTTTTTTTAAGTCACAAAAGTATAAATATCTTGAATTATCCTTCAATAACACCCTAGGGTTGAAAGGTTCATTTTCCAAGTATATCAAAAAGTGCCCTATAAAGGGTTAAATACATGAACTACAGTTGGCGGCAATAGTTTGTACTCATGTCATAAAAAACAAAAAGCAAAAACAGGTACATGAATTTTCATATTAGACTGGTTCTAAACTAGTTGATGTCTTTTAACGAGGCAACTAGGTCTGTAAACGTCAGCTACTGATTAAGCTGCAGAACTGAGCAACAGGTTGTTAAGTTGTTCACCTCCATTCATGTCAACGATAACGTCAGTGAGCTGCCCCAGATTCCGTCTGACAACAGCAGGCCACATGTAGAAATTATTTACACTGTCGATTAATCGGTCGGTTATAATCGCATCAGAAAATGGTGACAAATGTCAAGCAGTGTTTCTCAAACCCGAAGATGATGTCCTGACATGTCTTTTTTGTTGTCCACAACTCAAAGATATTCAGTTTACTGTCATAGCAAAGGAAAGAAAGAAGAACATATTCAAATTTAAGAAGCTGCAGGAAGGTTCTTCAAAATAGTTGTCGTTAATTGCTGCTGAGTCATTTACAAGCATAATCAGTGATGCGGAGTCTCACAAGAGATGGAAGGACCCTGACAGAGCTCCAAACTCCACATCATGGAGTCAGTATGGTATCACATGAAACTACAGGAGACCAAGACAGACTGAATTCACAGAAAAACTGTGGCAGGTTCTCCAAGACTGCTCAGAAAAATCTAACACATTGAAAAACTGTATTTGTCTTAGAGGCAAATGTTGCTCATATTATGTATTTAAGTTGGTTTCTCTGTTTCCTGTACTTTATATGAACTTGATTAATAAAAGCTATTTCTGCCATATCCTTGAACACTTCCTCACGAGACTTTTAGTAGCTATAACCGTTGCCCAGGACACTATTATTTTATTTTATTTTTTACTGTTTGGCTCTATATACATCATAGTGTGGGATGTGTAGTAGTTTAACAGCAGACTGTGCAGTTAAACCATCCGTCACGCTGAGGTTTACACCATATCTGCTGTGTTCTCTACAGTATTGCTTTAGTACTTATCCTCAACAAAAACATGATGATTCATCTGCCATACCTGAGGCGGATGGATTATCTCGGCACAGGAGGAGTGTTCATGAACGCAGGTTTAGACAACTTTGTGAGAAACAGGCCGTTTGTGTAAGTCTCAGATCTTTGAGTTCAGCTCATGAGCAATGGGAGCAAAAACAAAAGTGTTGCGTTTATATTTTTGCTCAGTCTAGACTCAATTTAAAGAAGACTGCAGATGTAGATTTTTAAGGAACATGTCAAAAATGGGCAACGAAAGTGTGAAAGCAAATACAGTGGTATCAGTGGCTGGACCACAAGAATGTGTGATTTGTTTGACATTTGCACGCACCAAAAAAAAGCAATCATGAGCATCAGACCGAAGGTTGTAACCAAGTAACAGCAACAAAGGCTAAAACAATACTTTATTAATGAATTCCACTGTTTATACATTTACACTGCAGTGTAACAACTCATCTAATAAAACAATTATCCCTTGTATTAACGTTGACTGTGTGTAGCTCACATTTGTTTTTTTTTTTTATAACAGATCCAACTTCAATATGAGGCTGGCGAGACATCAGGTCATAGAGTCTACATGCATGACACAGGCACTAGCATATCAGCCTCATGTAGCAATGGAAGATGTTGGGTGTGAAGAGGAGAAAGCAACTCCTAGAGGACCAGCATACTGAAGGTGGTGGCGAGTGCCAGGTGCTGAGAAATCTCCGAGATGGAAAAAAAAAAAAAGAAAAGAAAAAAAAGGGTGGGAAAATGTGGAAATCACTTCAGTCCTGTCGCTGAGTGTAACTTAAAGAAATCTACAAAAAGCATGATGATAAAAAAAAATTATCAACATAAAGATATGTACCGGTAGTAGCCACTTATGAGGGACGGTGCCTCCCTCATTTACACTTCACACGCAGCAGTCCAGCAAGTCTGTAGGTCTCCTTGTTCAAGTGTGATGACCGAAGCTGGATGGGAGAAGTTTTTGGTAGTCAAAGGCAGAAATGACACTACTAGTGATCTGTCAGGAGGGTGAGAGAACCGTGAAGGTTCTTAGTCGAGCTCTGAGTCCGACTGAGATGCTGTCTTCTTTTTCTTTTTTCTGCCGTGTTTCTTGTGCTTCTTTTTCCTTTTCTTCTTGGATTTGTCCTGGGAACGTAAAACATTTTTGAAATCAGCAAGGGATGTGTATTTTCTGAAGCTGGACTAACAGTAGCGATTTATAAGACGTTGCATCTTTACATATAAGGTATTTATATGCCGGGGGTGGGGGACAGGTCAAGGCGTAATGCTTGGTGTGTCTTGTTTGCTCATTGTAATTTAAAATAAGGGAATGAAGTAAATTGCTCACAGTGAATTTCTCCTTTTCCTCACTACTTCTCCTTTTCTTCTTGGCTTCAGTCTATTGGAGAGAAATGGTAAAATGTGACCATGGAAAGGGGGAAGTCTTGAGCTACAACTCTTCCTAAAAAGCTAATTTCCCATAATTGTTTCTATTTCTCAATAACGGAGTTTTTTAGAAGCTTCTGTAACAGCAGTTAGGCTGGCAAGGGCCTTCTAGTCCAAATGTGTCAGGTACACTAGGAGTGTAGGTGAGACGTGAAGCCGACAGTTTCCATCCGATTAAGAGAAAAGAGTGCATGTCTGAGCGGTTCTTTATACAATAATCACATATACAGGAGTTAAACTTACAGTAGAAGTCAAACTGAAAGGGTCAGCTTGGGGTCACGACTCTAACTCTGATTTGGGTTGAACACCGTTTGGTAAATATGAGTTTTAATCAGAAGTCAAAATTTTATCAAGTTAGAAGAATTCCAATGTCATTAAACTGACTCTTTCTGAAGAGACAGCTTGATCATCTGGAAGAGACAGAGAGAAAGTGAATGAATGTGGAAAAATTAAATGAAACCTTTTTCCCCTCCACTGTGTGACATTTAATCAGATGAAACTTTTCCTGTTCTAAGTAATTTATGATTACCAAAATTATTTCTATTTGCTAAATGCCAGAATAATGAGAGAGAGATTTTTTTTTATTACTTTCTTCAAAGTTAGAAGTTTACATACACTAAGATGCCTTCAAACTAATTGGGAAAGCCCAGATGATGATGTCATGCCTTTGGAAGCTTTTGATAGGTTAATTGACATCATTTGAGTGAATTAGAGGCACACCTGTGGATGTGTTTTAAGGCACACCTCAAACACTCTGCTTCCTTTTGTGACAATGTGGGAAAATCTAAAGAAATCAGCCAAGATATCAGGAAGAGAATTGTGACCCTCCACTAGTCTGGTTCATCCTTGGGTACAATTTCCAGATACGTGAAGGTTCCATGTTCATCTGTTCAAACAATCATACACATGTATAAACACCATGGGAATGTCCAGCCATCATACCGCTAAGGAAGGAGACGGGTTCTGTGTCCCAGAGATGAAGCGTTTTGGTGTGAAATGTGCGCATCAACCCCAGAACAAAAGCAAAAGACCTGTGAAGATGCTGCTGAAGCTGGTAAGAGAGCATCATTATCCACAGTGAAACCAGTCCTGTACTGACATGGGCTGAAAGGATACTCAGAGAGGAAGAAGAACTTTACTCTAAAAGCAACATAAAATGCCAGAATACAGTTTGCAAATGCACACAGGAACAAAGTAAAATTGAACTGTTTGGCCATAATGACTGTCGTTACATTTGGAGGACAAAGAGGGAAGCTTGTAAGCCTGAGAACACCGTCCCAACTGTGAAGCACGGGGGTGGCAGCATCATGTTGTGGGGGTGTTCTGCTGCAGGAGGAACTGGTGCACTTCACAAAGTAAATGGTATCATGAGGAAAGAACATTATGTGGAAATACTGAAACAAAATCTCAAGACATCAGCCAGGAAGTTCAAGCTTGGGGGCAAATGGGTCTTCAAATGGACAATGACCCTCAGCATACTGCTAGATTAGCTACAAAGAGGCTTCAGGACAACAAAGTCAGTGTTTTGGAGTGGCCATCACAAAGCCCCGATATCAATCCTGTACAAAATTTGTGTGCAGAGCTGAAGGTGTGTGGAGCAAGACGGCCAACAAACCTGACTCAGTTCCACCAGTTCTGTTACGAGGAATGGGCCAGAGTTCATCAAACTATTGTGAGAAGTTTGCGGAAGGAAACCCAAAACGTTTGACCCAAGTCATACAGTTTAAATGTAATGCTACCAAATACTTAAAAAATGTATGCAAACTTCTAACTTTGAAGAAAGCAATAAAAAATTCTCTCTCATTATTCTGGCGTTTAGCAAATAGAAATAATTTTGGTAATCCTAACTGACCGAAAACAGGAAAAGTTTAATCTGATTTAATGTCAGATAGTGAGAAAAAAAGGTTATGTGTGTTTTTATACAGTGTATGTAACCTTTTGGTTGTAACTGTAGCTATGTGTCAGTCGACGGTTTCGATATTAGGTGTACAGAATGACACAGCAGATAGGAACTTCTTAACCCATGACTGCAGGCTCGTGAATAAGACTAATGTTTGTAAAACACATGGTCTGTGGTCAAACTGCTATTTTTCTGATGAAAATCTGGAATTCATTGTTGATGTCACTATTCATTCCTTGTTCTTTTTTTAAAATTTATTATTATTTTAATTTGGTTGACTATTAACCTGCAAAGAAAAAACAAAATGGTCTTCTTAGATGCATGATATTAAACATGCTTGATCAGCCAAGAGGTAAAATAGGAGACGATAACATTTAAATTTGATATATGGGTGGAACAGTTCACACATGAATTGTTCCACTGACTAAAATTGGACTGTGAAACGTCTATGGTTAAATTTGACACTGAAACTGAAAATGAAGGGGAACAAAGTGGGGAGGAAAAGTGCTGCTTAATTACTTCAAGCCTGTTTGTGGAAGTGGGACACAATTAAACTGCAATGACAATACAGTTTGTGCTAAGTAAAGATTTAGTGCAAATATGCACAACATTTCTTTCTTTGTCCAGTAACCGTTCAGTTGCCTACTTCCCGCCTTCAACAATTATGCAAAACAAAACTCACCATCTCTTCCCCATCCGAGTCTGCAGACCACTCGGAAGATGAATCTTTATGACCTCTTTCAGCCTTCCTTTTTTTTCTGCGGGCCTTCTCATCCTTTGGACACATAATTTACAGCACAATTTAATGCACTTCACATGCAGCATCACATACCTGTGGAGCTACATCCACAACAAACTATAGCCATCAAAAAAACACTGGTAAGTGAGTGACTGAAGGACAATAAATTACCTTATCTTTGTCCCCTTCTTCCTTGAATCTTTTCCTTTTCTTCTTGGGGGGAAAAACACATTTTTACTACCAGAGTCTCTTTCTATAGAAGTGTAATGAAAGAGAAGAAGATAGTTATAAGAAGAAGCACCTTGCTTTCCGCATCGGATTCTTCCTCTGAGCTCTCCGACGGTCTCCTGGCCGACGTCTTCTTTCTCTTTCGCTTCTTTTTCATGCTCTTCTTTTCATCCTGTGCACATAAATACAATAAAAAAAGTCCATCAAAAAGTGTGTGTTGCATGTGTAAAACAGGGCTGCAGGCTGTTTTTTTTTTTAACAGATTACATTTTTAAATTGATCAGTCTGAGGTCTATGAAGTTATATTTCTGATCTGCTGTTAACTGTAAACCAACTAGCTCCACATGTTCCAGCTGGTAAACACCCAAATGACACAATAAGTCAACACAGTAAGTTCTATGTCATGAAGTAAACCAGTTAATGCTCTTAAAAATGTGAACTTTGACATGTGTTTCTCCACTAATGCAACATGTGCTTTTCAGCTATAAAACTAACTTTGTTCAGAATATAATAATTATCTGGATAAATTTAAATCCAGGATTTATTTATCCTACGTTTCAGCCTGACAATAGAATCCCACTGACTGAGATCAGGAAAAAAACATTTCATCTGGGAAAATTAATTCAAGCATTTTGTCTTAAGTGATCGCTAATATGTTTAAAAGTCCGACAGAACTTACCTCATCTTCAGACTCTGAGGAGGAGCTGCTGGAGGAATCAGAACTCGATGAGGAGGAGGAAGATGAAGAATGCTTGACCAAAACACAATGGAAGCAGGGTTCATTAGACTTGAGCTGATTCGCTTGTTTATAATTAAAACTTTACAATCACAGAACGCAATGAGAAAGCGGCTCAGAGAGCAAACACGAGTGTATGAGTGCATCGGAGGCAGTAGTGCCGCACAGGAGGCCGTGAAAATACTGGAGGTCTCTCCTCACCCTGCTAGATTTCTTCTTCTCTTTCTTCTTTTTCTAAACACAAATGACAACCACGAAAAAAAATGAGTCAAGCCGAGTTGTAAAAAGGCGATACATCAGAGATCTAATATGGGATTTATAGAATACCTCTTTTTTGTCTTTTTTCTCTTCTTTTTCTTTGTCAGTTGCTTTTTTCTCTCTTTCCTTGTCCTTGTCACTTCCACCAAGCAATTTCTCTCTGTTTTTTGCCAGCTCTTTCCTCCATTTCTGTGAAAAAAAAGGAAATTACAAAGTCAGACATCTAATAACTTGTATTCATCTACAAATTATTCCCAATATGCAGTGACGCTGTCGTCCACATAAGCAGCAGAGTCTTGTAGTACAGTTAAAACACAACAACATGTTAGATAATGTACATACAGGGCTCTGCTACAACCCTTAAAATCCGTCTCTCACATATTTGTCATCCTCACTTTGATGACAATGAATTCTAATTATTAAAGATAATTTTTAAATACACTTGTGCAGAAAACATGTATTAAAGGCATTTTTTTATTATTATTTGCACAGCACAATAGAAGGAAAATCATGCATTTGGATCCCAGTCAGCATATATTTAACATTCAACAGTAGAACACTTTAGGTTTTAGAAAAGGGCCCTATTGCAGGGGTGTCCAGCTCGCGGCCCGTGGGCCAATTGAGGCCTGCCGGACCATATTTTGTGGCCCTCTACTTGACACCAAAGTCTAACGTTAGTGCGACTCGCGTCTTTTTCTCACATGCACCTGCGTGAGTCATTGCCCTGGGCGTTTTATATTTTTTACCACTTGTGGGCTACCATAGTTCAGGCTCATGACAGCTACGTGAATTAGCAACGTTAGTCACTTGATACGTGATTCGGGAGTGTCACCGAGTGGATGGAAAATAGATCCTATCATCTAGTGCAAATGCATGTTGTTTTTAGATCTGTGTGAAAAGCTCTTCTCCACCATGAACTTTAATAAGTCAAAGTACAGGTCTAAACTTGCTGATGAGCATCTTCAAGCCATACTGAGGGTCTCAATTGTTTCCTCTCTTAAGTCAAATGTGGCTCAGCCATGTACGAGGAAGCGCTGCCAGGTCTTTGGCAGCACGGAGTAGGTAGGAGAAGCCTATGTTCTGAAGAATGTTCTGAATTGTTATTAATAAAGATTTAGAAGATTGGATCAGTTTTACTTTTTTTTGGAACACTTGAAACCCTTTTTTGGGGGAATACGTGACGCGGTCCAGCCTCACCCAGAGTCCACATCCAGTGTCCCCCAGGTAAGTTGAGTTTGAGACCCCTGCTTTATCGTGTTGGTTCTTTAATGAATCAAACTGTGCATATCTAAAATCGACATTGTTGTATTTTAATTGTTTAGACCCTTGTTAAGAATTTGCTAAAATAATCAATAATACTACTTTGCTACTTCAAGAAAATCAAAGTTTAAGTCATTTCAAAATTGCAGGCCTTTACATTTACTAACGAAGGAACTTAAACAGTTGACTCATAAGACAGAATGTCAGCAAACACCGGTGTGATGAACTGCTGTGTCTGCAAAGTGCCCGTGCAGGTTATGCAAAACATTTTTTTTGACACACACTCTGCAGTTTCTGTGAATTGGTTGTGTTCAGAACGTTGACACAAACTGATTATCTTTCACAACATCACCTTTTTTCTTCCTGTATTTGCATCATTTTGATCTGTATCATGTTATCTCAACACGAGCCCAGATCACTTCTTATTTCAATATGAGTTCTTCCGCCACGGAACTTGCGATTGCTTTTGTTATTCCCACATTGGGCCGCTGACATCGGTTAAAGTTGGCAGCTATGAGGAAGCCTGAATACCGCATTTGTGTGAACTTAAACTGACAGCGATTGATTGGTTGTTTGTAAGGTGTGATGTAATTTGTTGTTCAAGTTATAGCCAAGTGAAGGCAGCTATGATGCTTTAAGACTGGGCTGACTGCTTCGGTAAAATAATTATTTATCGACATGAGGAAAAGTGGGCTATAATGTTGATTTATTAATTACTTGATTAACTGCTTGGTAAATACTTTCATCCCCAGTTAAATCATTTATCAGAAGCTAATGCATCATTACATGCTACAAACTTACCTCGTTCATTTTGTCCTCAAAGTCAGCCAGGGCTCGAGAGCCTTTTTTCTTCTTCTCCAGCTGCTCCTTTAGCTCTTCCCTGATAAGGACAGAATCAATTAGTTATAATACATGTTATAAAGTAAAACTATCACTTTTGTAAAAAAAAAAAAAGTGTGGTTGGAGTTACATATTACTCTCTTAGAATACTTTCAACTGTGGGATCTTGTGCATAAAAAATGTAGATGACATTTCACCTCAACAGATTTTGTTCAGTAATACATTTGTTGTTACAGATGTGCAGAATATTTCACTGTTAGGAAAATTCTTCAGCGGAGTCCTAACGGCTCCAAATCAAGACACAGAGTCGTCTCTTAAGTCAAAGCAAAGTTTTACTTGCAGCAAGGACTCACATGCACAGCACAGATTCTGCACAAGTGACTCCAGAGTCAAGAAACGTTGTAGCGTTTAAACAGGCATACACCAGATTTCTCCTCTGCTCCCATCTGCTGAGCACCGGCTTGGTTACTTTTTTGCAAGTTCTGTGCACGCTATCTTTCACGGCCTTCTGTATTTCAAGAGTTGGACAAAGAGCATTGAATCATAACATATCACACTGAATTTTTATAACATTTACACTTAGTTGTCTTCTGATGTGTTTGAAATTATTGTTCCAACCTCTTGTTTTAAATGCTCCAAAGTGTTTTCTTTGTTTTACCAGTATCAGAATCAAGAAGTTACAAACAGGATCTCACATAATAACTATTATATACTTAAGCCCCTTGGCCATTATTGTGGTGCCAGAAATCGATACTTTATGTCTCTTTCCTCTTTAATACTGCATTAAAAATATTTTGCGTTTTCATTATGCAAATGAGACCTGACAAGGCTCAGTCAAAGCAGACAACAGAGAAAACCTCTTTAGCCACACTTGAGACTTGGTGAGGGCTTTTTTTTTTTTTTTTTTAATATAGCTGAATAAAAACACTCCTACAACATTGCAAAGTACAACCTTAACCATTTAGCAGTGGGGAGCTTTACTACACTTTTATGTTAACACTTTACGAGGTGTGTCAGAAAAGTTCCAGGACTGATATCTCAAAAGATATAATTCCCTTGATGACCCCCTTTAGCTTGGGGAAGAGGAAAAAAAATCCCACGGAGCCAGGTGGGGTGAGTAGGGAGGTTGCTCCAGCACGGCGACGTTCTTCTCAGCCAGGAACTGTGGGATGCTCAGGGTGTTGTGAGCAGGCGCGTTGTCATGGTGAAGCAGCCACGATTTGTCTTGCTACAACTCTCGCCTCTTCTCGCGCACTGAATGAAGCAAAGCAGGATCTCTTTGTAGAAGTGCTGGTTGATCATCTGAAGGGGAAAACTCGTAGTTTGTAGTTTGGGTTAGAAATATATCTTTTGTGACACCAGTCCTGGAACTTTTCTGACACACCTCGTATTTATTTATCCATGTCAGCCTATTATATGAGATCTGGTTGTGGCTACTTGCTGGGACAGCTGTAGACTAGAAAGTGGCACACCTTCTCAACCTTCTACTTAACTGTCACATTGAAAGACAGAAGGAATGAAAATAGCAGATGAAAAAGATATGGCTGATTTGTTCATTTCTTACCAAATAGCAGCAACTTATGCCAGCAGATCTGGTTTTCACTCACCATGTTGGTCGAGGTCTGCTTAAATAATCCTGTATGGTCGGTCCAGAGTTCTGTACCGGTCCTCTGGCTCGTGCAGCAGCTATGGGGTTAATGTAAGCCTGAAACACCAGAGGGCATTTCTATAATAAACCTCTGATGGAAATTACTATACACACTCAAATAAGCAAATTATTCGGCACTGTCAGCAAGCAGTACCTGTACTGTTTAACAGCACTAAATGTAGAATCTCCCTAATAAACCTTAAAAAAAAGGCATTGGTACCTCTACAATAGGTTAATTAATCACTGAACATTACAGTCTTAATAAAGAGTTCATTTATAGCAAAGCTGCATTAGGCCATGACAGTGTTAGTTATGAGCCCCTGATGAGCTGTTAAAGTATCCGATCAAACGGCAACACCTCCCAGTCTGTTAGCAATTAACCATACTGACAAAATACATTTACAAATCCCAATAAAACGTTAGCAAGAGATCCTGTGACAACATTACTACAGTTAACTTGGCATTAGCAAACCGCTAGCATTAACCAAATTCCCTGGGCTTTGTAAACCTCACTAGAGCTAACCAGTGTTGGCTTTTAGTTGGTATTAGTGTGGTGTCATGTAGTGATCTTGGGCTACACACAGACCGTAGATGTATTCCGAGATATGACCACAAGAAACATCAAAAAACACTGCGCAGCCTCACCACGCACAACTAGTCTATAATGTTGTGAGCTAGCATTTGTAGCATCCTACGCTGTTGACGCTACTACAAGCAGTTTAAACGCACATTGTTGTGTTTCCAAAAGAATTACATGTGTACGTTTCGGTATGTGCAAGCGTGGCTACACTGACCTACTGTACAGGCCCTAGCATCACAACACCCCCACCAACACATACACACATCAGCTAGCCGATGCTAACTGCTGCGCTAACGCTAGGCTGCTTGTGTTTATCCTGGTGATTTTACAAAACGTCACGGCGTGTAATTCTTTACACTTTATTCAAATTCTGTAACATAACTCACCACTCGATTGTCTCTCTTGCCCATGTCGAGTCATTAATGGGAGGAAATGTCCAACAGAAAGAACAACCATTAGTGTTACCTGGCTAGCATTGATCTAGCCACTTCAGACTGATGTCTTCTTCTTCTACTCACCAATTTTCGGCAGGCTGTGAGGCGTAATGCTGCCCTCCACAGGCGAGGGTTTGCTGTTTATCCTATATGTTTGAATACACCAAGCTGATTGGGAAAAAAAGTGCTGTTTTAAAAAAAAATACAAAATAAACAAATACTCCAGACATCCACAAGTGCAAGCCTGTGCAGTACTGTATCATTTGGATATGTCTGTGAAGATTCTCAGTCATCCAGGTCATGGCCACTTTAACAATCCAACACTCCCCTGTCTAGAACCTGGTACCTGGTAAGTGGTATCATAGAGCCCCCTTCACTGTTTAGAGATAAGCTGTTCCAGCTTAACATAGACGGCTTCCTTGACTCCCTTCTCCAACCATCTGTCTTCATGTCCTCAGAGGGTGTGTCCAGAACTCTTTAGATGTATGCTGAGCAATGTTTACATTCTGGACACTTATCTTTTCTTGCACCAATTATCAACAATCTTTTCATCTTAGTTTGGAAGCAGGCAGCTCTGGTGCTGTTAACTCTCCTTCAGCGCCACCGTTGACAGCAACCATCCCAGGAGTTGCATTACTGCCATCTTCTGGAAACAACTGTCACTATATATATTTTGTTGTCCACATCATTTTCAGCAGCCACGTCTCTCAGTTCCAATTATGGGCACTCGTATTTTGCCTCACAAAGTTATTAACAGTGAAACAGACTGATAACTCAAACGAAAACAAAAAAAACCCAACTGCTTAAAAATGTGTGTCTGTACCAGTATGAAACAGACGTTGCTATTCCTGTTCATAAATAAGTCCAAAACAACATTCATAAAAAGCTGCTTTTTATTCAGCTGGTGCAACACAATAATAAGACACCAATGCATTAATACATAAGTATAATGCCAGTTGAAGTGATATGATGGATCAAGCTATGTTGGTTTCAAAACAGTGAAACTGCTAAAAGTTCAACCGTGGACTTAAGTTGTTATGAGACTGAAATGCATTGCAAATTAGTTAAGAAAAGCATACAGTAATTGCATTAACTGTAATGAGACTAAAGCAGTCATTATTTTAAGTGTAAACCTCTATGTGTAATGTATTTGTAGCTTCCACTGCATTGTATGCATCACTTACACCAGATCTGAGTTGTTATCAAACAGAAAATTCACACAGTGTTTTTAGTTAAGCAGACAATTACACATGTTTTCCTGTCGGGTTCTGACATCTAGCAGTTAAAAGTCGCTGGCAAAAACAGTTTATACAGGCAGTTATCTTCAGACAGTAATGACTACAGTAACATATACTTGATAAATAGGAATGACAGTAGACTATGATCAATGACATGATCATGAAACAGCTTGAAAGAAAACCTGAAGGGGTTGTAATGTGGTCATTTAGTAGCCCAGAGATGTGCAAACTGTGCCCGAGAGGTTCGGACGTCCATAACAAGAACCTGAGAAAGTCAGAGAATGTGTCTGTGTGTGTGTGTGTGCTAACAGCACTACCTGTTAAGAAAACATAAACCAGTGTTAAAATGTTACTGTTCTGCAAGAACTACTACATACATAGAAAAATACAACTCTGCATAACTTTCTTTTTTTTTTCTTGCTGGTAAAAACTGAACTGGAATACAACAGCACATGAATGGAAAATAAAGCAAAAACTGTACACAAAATATTTGTGCATTAATTCATTATCAAAACTACGATAAAATTTGTAGTCACTCGCAATCCAAGGTAAAGGAAATCCATTAAGCACCCACAGAACCCACCCAACATTTGCAAAGGACAAAAGACTCTCCATACAACATTCCACTGACCCTCGCTACTCTACGTCTATCCATTTTTACGACATATCTATGTGCTGACAATGCACGTATCGAAAGTTTTCTATCATTACAGCTTGTACTTTACAGCTAGCACAACATACTGTATAGTACCAATGCCTATCCTTTATACATTCCTTACATTGTCAAACTATTCTTACACAAACTCCCTAATCATCTAATGAGTTGGTGTAATTGGTGTAAGAATATTGTATGCCCCAGCATCTTAAAAAAAGAAAAAAAAAGATCAAGTAACAAGCATAAGACTTGTCAATAAAATTAAAATTAAATACAGAATATTGGTGACACAATACTATGCCAAATGTTTTCATGTTGAATAGTGCTGGTGGGACTTTCTCCACCTATTGCAAGCCTGTGCATTACTGTATCATTTGGATAGTAAATATTAATTGGTTTTCATACTGATAAAAGTCCGTGATGGCAGACCAAAAGTCATAAAAAAAAGTCTTAAACACCACAAGTGGCAGGAACATTTCTAAGTTCTTTCATCATTGTCTCAGCACCGATATCAGCCCATTACGATGAGTTCCTTGAAGATGAGTGCAGAAACCATTAGAATCCCGCTACTGGTCTGCAGTTACTCCAGACATCCACAAGGCGGCAGCAATATTATAGGTAAAACTGGAATGATAACGACATGGCAGTGAGTGACTGGCTTGTGATGCCTAATAATGTTTGAATGAGTACATAGGTACATGAGCGTGCTTATGTCAGCGGCAGTGGACACACTAAATGTTGTGTATGTATCTGTGAGTGCGCTTCAACTGTTTATCTTCGTGCTGCGCGCACGCACACAGTTAAACATAAAGGCAGGTGAACTCCATGCTGTCCATCCAGGCTCCTGTACGGTCCAGTCCCCCAGTCCGAGGGGCTCTTGCAAGGCTAAACACTTGGTCATAAAGAGGCTTCGGCTTCATGGCCTCGACAGTCTGTCCGCCCGCTACTAGCAGTCAATCTGAGATGCAAGTCTCTTTGCATTGTTACACACAGTCAATTATCAACATTTCACAACCTAAAAGCAGCAATAACAATCCATCAGTTCATGGAAGGAGGACAGCTTGTGTGCATGGTTCAGGGGTGAGAGCGCTGGTGTTCTCGACACAATCTTCACTCTCCTCCTTATGAGTACATCCTGGAGCTTTGTACGTGGACTACAAAAAGTATTCCCCTTCCCTGTGTCTGTTTCATGTATTGTTTCATATAAAATGTGGAACCAAAATGAATAAAGCTTTTTGACACTGAGGATCAGAAAAAAAAGTCATGTTAAAGAGAGAACTGTCAACTGATAATTCATCACTGATGCAGTTGGTGGTAGAGATCAAGATGTGATTTTTATTTATTTATTTATTTTTTTAAGTTAAATGCATTTACATTTGCAGACCCCAGCAGGTGGCATCAACTAACTGAGACTAGGCAGCTGCTGCCTGCCATTACTAGAACTATGGCCAACTAGCAAAAAGAAAGCCACTGTTGAAAAATCTCATGACATGTCAGCTTGCTAAGAACCATGTGCAGAAGTGAAACAAGGCTCTGTGGCTGGATGTCCCTAAATTCAAGCCTTTATACCAACAAACTACATGTTATGCAAAGCTGGGGCTTGGTAGCATCATGCTGCGGAGACTTTGCAGTTGGCTCTTAAGGATTTGTGAGGATAGGGATGAAATCAATGCAGCAAAATGTAGAAAAATCCCAGAGGAAGCTCTGCTACTATGAGGAGAAGCAGGAAAACCACCTGCAAACCATAAAGCTGCACTAGACTGCTTTAAAAAAAACACTCAAGTGGTCAAATCACCATCCAGACCATAAGACAATTAAGGATTTAAGGCAGAACATGAAAACTTTTAGTCAGTCGTGTGATGAGCTTAACAGATTTAGCCGCATAAACTCAAAGCTTTAAGGTGCATCTGCTAAATATTTTCTTTGAGGAGGTGAATACTTCTGTAATCACTTATTTTGCCTTCTACATTTCTACTTGATTAGTCTTCATTTTGAAAGTGACTTTTTTTCTGCCTATCAGCGTCAAAAACCTTCAAGCAGTAAAGCATGAAAAACACCAAGGTGGGGTACAGAGAATACTTTTTGCAGACACTGTATGGATGATCAAAGGTGAAGGAGGACCATCAGGCAGTCCTCTCCTCCATAGTGGGCTTGTTGCTGGGGATGGGTTGGGCCGCGTACACACTTCTGCTGTGGCTGTCCACGCTTTGAAAGTAGGGGTGACTCAGCGCAGCGAAGGCCGATATTCTCCTGGAGGGATTGAAGGCGAGGAATTGCTGCAGAGACAGAAAAAAAAAACAGGATGAAATAGTCAATTAATATAAAACTGCAATATTATGAGCTAAAGAATGTATGGTTACATTTTTATGTTGTAGGTCACTGAAAACAACTATTCACTTGGATTAGTTTGGACAGTGGTTCCTACCATTACCTACCATTAACAAGGCCCGTCCCTGCTCGTCCATGTCTGGAACCAAGTCTTCTATTGGTTTCGGGGGCCGGGGTGTGAAGGCACTCTGTGGTAGGGCCACCTCTTGTGGCCAGTCTTCTGCTGAAGGTACCCCAACAACACTGTGGGAGGACAACAGTCATCAGTGCCTTCACCGTCCACAGTGAGCAGCATTCACTACCTGTCCAAGTCTTTGTTAAAATGATCCTCAGCTTGCTAAGTATTGCTAAGCATGGCAGAGATGCTCATGATATACACCTTATGAAAATAGCACAACCCATTCAATGAGATTTTGCATTAGTGGTAGAAAAGTAGGAGTGGGCACATCCTTCCTTACTTCTGTGTGGTCAAGATGCAGGAGAATTGGAGAAATTTACACACTGGATGCGTTTTCAAATTTTTATTCAAGTGACTTTGCTGATTTCCATGAACAGATCAATGCCTGGATACCTTTTCCCCCCATTCATTCTCAACAAAATATAAGATATAGGGACTCAAAGCCAATAGAAAAAATATATTAATACTTACTCAAAAATCTTTCCCAGCTGATCAACATCTGAGTTTCCTCGAAATAGCGGTCTGGGGAGAGAAATTAAAAACTGTTTATTTGGACTGCCAATACTTAAACATATGTTCATCAGTGTCTTCATATGCTGTGCTGCACAAAAACCACACTGATACGGAAAAAAGATTAAAACACATCTTGGTTTAAAGTGTACAGAATTGATTCTGTTCTTATCGGCCCACTTCAGACATGAGTTTTAATGCTGTCTTTCCCATGGCACATATGGATGAACAGCCCTAATATATAAGCTTTTGGCTCAAGGCAAAGAGGAATGTGTGACTCTGATGTGAACGTTTGAAGCAGCCACACACTCGCAGCCTCATCTCATGTAGTCAGGATTGTGGGGCAGTACTGGTAGTGCTACTGGAGAGGGAGAGAGGGAGGGAGGGAGTGGGGATGAAAGGAGGGAGGAGAGCGGCAGCAGGGCTGCTGGTGGTTCCTGTGGCTTTGGGCCGTCTTTGGATGCCCGTGGGCGGCCATGCCTGCCCTGGCACCCGCACAAATTCCAGTAGTCATCATCAGCACAAGTCTGCCGGTCGCCGCACGGGACAGAAAAAGCCTATTTATCCCTCATGTGTGCTTTTGCTCTCTGTGAGTGTCAAAGCGTGGGGGAAACTGGGAGGGAAAGGCGTGAGAAAGAGAAGTTGGATTATTCTAGCAGAGAAAGAGGTATGGGAACTACACTTTCCTGCTCAGGTTCCTCTGAAAGGAAGTGAGGAGGTGTTGCAAAAGAAAAAATCATTTTGTTCTAACGCGAAACAACTTTTGGCCCAAATAACATTTCTGAATGTCTCAATCCAAACATTGCAGTAAGAATGCACAAGGATCAGTAAAAGGAGAACACTTCCTTTTTGTTATGCTCTCCATGTTTAAAATGATTAGTCACCAGATACTTCCACATAAGTGTGCTTCTATGCATGTGTGTATGCCCTGTGTATCCAGGACTCGATACAGTTCAAGTGCACCCCACTTAACTGAAGTCAACAGAGACTGGCTAGCCACCATGTGCTCCCTGTGTTTTCCCACTTGCAGGAAGCTTCACATAGTTCAACACCCACACTTTCCTACAGAGTCAGACACTAGGATATTAGTCACACAAGGTTGTTTTGCACATTTTTTTTTTTTTACAGTAACAGCAAACTGTATGTCACATGCTTCGGTTCGGAAGTGGAATTATGATAGTAGTTGGTTTCAATTATTCAGCAGTGGTATCCTTAACTAAAGGATGTCTCAGTGTTTCTTTGCTCTCGCACCACAGCTTTAAACATCTGACTTGGGAACAGAACCTCACCACATATGCAGGTCTTTCAGGGTAAATTACTGCACTGAGCTTTGAAAGCCATTTAAGATCAGACCAAACCAGTTTCTGACTGTTGCAAAAGAAAAAAAAAATCACCTACAGCAAAGTCATCATGCCAAAACAAGTAGGGCTGATAATTCCAAGAGGTCCATTTTTAAACCTGGAGTGGTTTGTTGGTTTGTTGGAAGGGGATGACTGGATTCACATCGAGCTGGCCACTGGCATGCACACACGGTGGACAGTGCGAGCGCAACATTTTGCACGCACTCCAGGAAGTGTGGGTGCACAATCGTACACACGCGCATTTGGGATTTTTTTATTTTTCCCCCCCAGTGTGAGATTTACACGTGCACACACATATGCACAAACACAAGTGGTGGCAGTGAAAGGACTGAGACTGGGTTGGGACAGGCAGCTGAGTCACGCTTCCTTTAATGCCAGCACGGCTCTGTCCCACATTCCACTGAGACAACCTCTGGAATGTGCGTGTGTGTGCGCATGTTTGCACGTGAGAGAGTCGAACTGTCTGAGTGGGAATTGGAGAGAAGCGGAGTGTGTGTTTGACTGTGGTTTCCTCCGCATGGACATCCTGCACTGTGCAAGGACATGCGAGACCGGGAGCTCGCTTGAAACACATTTGCATGCAAGGGTGCGTTGCTGTTGAGGATTTATCAATTGAGTTCCAAAGTGTGAGAAAGTCAACAAGTATGCGGAGGCCTCTCCCGGACCCATTAATGCACCACGTTCAACCTTTTCGATTGGAGGAATGTCAACAGACACTCTCTCCTCTATTCACTTAAACCGTGACTCACTTCGACACTGTCGGAGCCATGCAGATGCAGACTTGCTCTTTGCTCAAATTCCTTTGACAACAACTATTCTCATTACACTATGTAGTCATTATAAAAGGGTGGGTTTTTTTTTTTTTTTTTTTACAGTGGCATGTGTGAAGTCGGTGCTATTGGGGGGAACTTTTGAAGTTTCATGAGTCATAAAGGAAACAAATTTGTGGTGCTGGTGATAAGATGGATTCGGGTCATCGCTGCTAGTCGGGGCTCTAACATCGGCCTGCAACCAGTGCTTACTTTCAAAATGACATGCAGTCAATAGAATGTGAGAAAATCCAATTCAAAGTCCTATGTAACATCTTCTGAGGACATTCGCTTTGTAAAAACATGAAACGAACTCAAGCAGCAACTCATTTGAGAAGGAAGCAGTAAATGTTTGACATTTCTGGAAGATAAATCAAACCCGTTGTGTAACACATGAATTGACTACTTACACAGACAGTTATTCTTGTTGATGCATTCATTCGTTCCCTACCTATTCTGAAATCAAACCGTGAGCAGGGACGTCTGGTTTGTTGCTCCTAAGCTGTCAACAATTATAATCTTAAATTCAACAGTGCTGCAAACTAATAAACTGTGTTTTCTCGTCTTCTCTTGTTCTGCACTTTCCAGCAATCAGTCTTTCGCTTTCTTTCACTGCTTCTCCCAGGTGCCCTTTAATCTCTGACAGGTGGCCTTTTAAAAAGCCATTTTAATCACCTGCAGTGAGAGAGAGAGAGAGAGAGGGACATAGAGATTGTGTGCATGTTCTGTTCATGGCCATCAAAGGGCCCTGCCTCGCCTTCCACCTTAAGGCAAAGTTGGACAGGTGCCAGATTGTGAAAACGCACACATACTGGATACACACCACAGCTTTTACAGCTTATTGTGTCAGGGTGAGAGAAGTACCTTAACCTAGACAATACACACACACACACTGAGACTGCTCACTGCTATCAGGACAGCCAGCAGGTTCAGACTGCTTTTAAAGGAACACTATATAAGACAAGGACAAGCCTCTGGTACACACATCACATATATGTTAGTATTTATTGCTGTTGGGTTGAATTTATTGATGACTTTGTATCATTTATTATGTTCTTCTGTGTATTGTAGGTGGCATTACACAGAAGCATAAAACATTTCGGATTTGATCGAACCAGAAATGTGGCACAAAACAGCGACTGTAGATCCAAATGCCATTCAATTCTACATGCCAAAGGTTCGACTGAAGCGCTATGTGCAAATGTGACATTGACTACATAGATGATAAACCAAACAGCCAATGCTTAATGCAGACTTTACTTGCAAAATTATTTAAATGTAAATGAGTACTGTGTTGCAAACCAACAAAATTCTGCAAATCTGGAAGGAAATTATTACCAAGTGCCTCTTTTTATTCCTGGCCGCACATACATCCATGTAAGTCTGCAAACTGCACGTCAAAGGCTACTATTTCTAATTTTTTTTGCCTTTATTTGACAGGACAGTAGAGAGTGAGACAGGAAAGTGGGGAGAAGACTGGAGGAAGGACCTGCAGCAAATGGCCATGGGCTGGATTCGAACCCATGACCGCTGCGTCGGGACTACAGCCCCTATACATGGGCTGCCAGCTCAACCAGTTGAGCTATAGCGGCGGCCCTGACCACTATTTCTTAAGGCTACCAAACTCCCATCACATGTGGTTAAAACAACTATCCAAGACCGACCTGAATTATTCAGTTTACAACCTGTAAGGCAAAGAATAGCAGCAACGCCACTAGTAACACTCTTGAATTTAAGTTGTGAAACTTCTTCAAATTCTGATAAACCTATCACAAAAAGGACAAAATAGGGAACATATCGTGTGGTAAATGAGAGCGCAAGTGGTTTTTTTTAGCACAACTGAGTCACGTGACAGTAATGGATTGACCATGGCCTTGATCTAAAAGTAGGGGACAAAGAACATCAAAGCAGATCATGTCCTCCATGACACTTGAACCGGTGTACCACACTTCCAATAACACTGTTTAAAAAGACAGAATCAACAACACAGGATAGTTTACAGTGTATGTGTTTAAACTGTTTGACAAAATTTTTTAGTGTACGCAAAAAGAGACACGTCATCAATATACTATTAACTCTGTTGCAGCGACAAATTTACCGTGCAGATGAACTTAATAAATTGTCTTGGTGCAGCATCAGAACAGCTTCAATGCATTATGGAACCATTTTTCTAAAAGATATTCTTTTAAGGGTTTTTTTTTTTTTTTTTTAAATGCATTATGGAACCATTTTTCTAAAAGATATTCAGTAGGTGTTTTATAATTTCATGAAGTATATTATAGTTTGTAAATTTATAAAACCATTCGGCGACCCCCTCTCAGGTCTGCATAGAAGCATCTGCCTTCATCACCGTGCTAGTTTATTTGTCACGAACACCGCACGACTACTTCTTCTCCCCATGTTGCATTTTGCCACTAGAGCCCACACATTCCCACTGAGTCCCACGTGCAGCGCGGGGGTTGTTGTGCGGCTGTAGATGTTGGGGTGTGAGGACGGTTGGGGAAGGAAGCAAGACTGCTCCTCCTGGCACTCAGCCCTACCTCACAGAGACTGTTCTTATCTACTGTGGCATACGCAGCAACATGCTGGCTAAACCTCCGTTTATGGTCGACTGTCAGACACATTTTTATACATACTATGGCACATAAGATTAATGGCACCTTAATGACATGCCGATAAAATATGTTCTTACGCCCATGTCTTTTTTTCCTTCCATAAACAGGCAGTTGAATGTTTTTTTCCATTTTTTTTTTTTTTTTTAGAAAAAGGGTCCGTTATTAGCTTGGCTCTCCAGTGTGTGAAGTTCGTTAGACCACAAACTGACAAACACCTATACCAAGAAGTGGAATCTTGACTTGCATGCTGCAACCACAGCAGACAGCCTGGGTTACTGTAATGGTTTGATAAGCCAACTGAAATGTGATTGCTGACTGCTCCCAAGGCATCTGACAGGTGTCGTCTGAGGAAAATATGACTACTTTAAGAGACGCCAAAAATATTTCTACTGGTAGTTAATTTTTCCGTGGAACATATCTATAAAAAAGTAAATGAATAATGTTAAAAAATAATAAAACATTCTTCTCTTTGTGGAACTCGATCGTAACACCAACACTGAGGTGCAACAGGCTTTGACACCAATGAAGACAATGTGGACAACACTTAGAAGAAAAACTAGGTAAAGATCTTGTATATCTCTTCACACGGGTTCTGTATCATGGGAAACAAGAGACAACAGATGGCTTTTGGTGATACTTGCTCCAAACGCAAACCTAGTCACAAGGATGTGAGCATGTGACGGTGTATACACAGTATATGGAAATCCCTATAGGTCATTGATCATCTGTTGTCTTCACAGTAAACGCGGTAACTCCATTGGTAAAGGAGATCATTTTCAGCAGCATGAAGTCAACGCCTTCTATAATTCATACATTATCTTGACCAGTGATATCAGTCATAGACTGATTAGTAACCTCAACCATCAGATGTTTAAATTACCTCAAATCCTTTACCTCACTATGATACAACTACAGTGGATTTTTTAAAAAATCAATTGGAAACACTACATTCTTCTAAACTTTTGTAAGTTAAATATGTTTTAGGCCTCAGTTTATATAATTTTCTGCTACACACATACCAACGTTGTTACAGTTCATACTGAGCTGAAAGTGGGAACACTGTAACCTATAGAAAAAAAAAACACAACATGGAGGACAAGTGCAGCACTTAGGTTGTAAGCCCACCTTACACAGAGCTGCAAGAATGTTGCTTCAGTATCACTAGACAGATAAGAGCTAAGATCTGTTTGAGCCGTTAAGGAAGATCTTCAAGTGACATGAAGGAAGACTTGAATCAACTCAGGAAAGGAATCCACCATAACCTTCACTGGAGGTTCAGCATTAGTGTGAATGATGAATGAGGTCTATTTCTGCACTGAGAAGTTGTAAAACTGGGCACTGGACGCAAAATAAGTATGTTTTGTTGCCTTTAAACAGCAAAAGACGAATGCGGGAAATGTTTAAATCCAGATCAGATAACATAAGGGAGGATAATAGAAAAATAAAGTGGCAGGAGACGGTAAAGACAAAATTTGCAACAACTCCACCAACATGAGTTCTCTTTACCAGCATACATCAGGCTTAAGTGCCCACATGGACCTCCAGCTCAAACAGCTATCACTGTAACGTCTAAGAGTGGCTGTAAAGAGGTGTTCAAACAGATCTGGGTCACTTCACCAAGTCAGCAGAGCGCAGGTGAATATGCAGGAGCTGGGAAGCAGGGGTTTTGTGGTGAAGGCGCACGCTTCAACTTAACTTGGTGTGGTGATTCACGTAGTGGAATAGCAACACACTGGTGAGTTTACTGAGTACAGCAGTAGCCCAAACAGCAATAGAGAAGTTCAGAGAATTTCAACAACCCACAGCATGAGGTTAATAAGATATGAGAGCTCTGATGTTATAGCAACAGTCCAGTGTGGTTTACTTGGTGAAGACTAATTTCATATAATAACCTACTTCTGATTCTATACGTAGACTAACTCATTATTTTCAGTGTCACTTCATTTAGACTGCCGTTAGCTTTTCCTCGCAGAGAAGGTAACTGACTGAATTCCTGTAAAGAATCAGTCTGGTGTTCAAGAACGGTCTGTATCATGAACACCACTGCACGAGTCTGACCAAAAGTGATGCATTCCAGTGAACTCTGACAAGTTTTTGTATGCTCCTAACACAGCAACTCGAAATCCCCACTCTTTAAAAACAGTTATTAGCAAGCATGTGAGGAGATGAACGTTTGCTGAAAAGGGCTTGCCCTGATGATGTGCAAAGACAGGTTAGAGCTGAGGTATATATCGTTATTTATTTGTAACAAAGTACTTGGCAATTAAAATATTTGCGGTGGACCACCTCCGAATATATGTCCTCACTTAATAATATATATATATACACACACCCCCACAAATGCAAAATTCATTTTTGCAGAATGTTTGAAACCTTTATGTCCAATTTAATCAGTGAAGACTAGACAAGTGAGGACTCAAGACAACGTTAGATAACCACATATAAAAAAGAAGGCCCATTCACAAAACATCAGTGCCGTCCGTGTGTCCATTGATGCTTGTTAGATGTCTGACCGTGTGAGCTAGATTTTAAAAGAAAATTGTTTTTAAGTGTTTAAACCCAGCAGCTGGTATTAAGATCAATGGACACATAACAGGCAGCCTCAGGTTCCAGGACACATTTTGACATGGCTGTTGTCTTAATCACACTTTCTTAGCCATCTTTGTTTAGCCTCTGCTGCGGGCATTCAGTCTAAAGCTGAGTGGAATATACATAGAACAGGAAGATCATACTGTGACGCTTTTTTCAGCTGACAATCTTGCCTACATTTAGCAACCAGACATCTCCTTTCACCACCTGCACACTTCTCAAAAAAACTGGCCAATATTGTATATCCCGTTTGGTCCATGTGTTTTGTTGTTAGTGTTTGTTTTCCTCCCTTTGAGAAAAGAACACCATGACAACATCTTCAACTATCATTAAAAATATTAACTGGTCCTTGAAAGCCGCAGTTTTTTTGTATGTTTAGAGGTGTTAATGTAACATCTCCAACCCATCCCTTCTGTATTTTATTTATTTTTCCTCCTCTCAAGCAATACTAAGTGCAAAGATAAGATTGCATACGTAAATATCTACATCTTTAGTTCCCTGCAGATCTCACCTTCTCCTGAACATCTCAGCAAAGATGCAGCCGACGCTCCACAGGTCCACTGGTGTAGCGTAACTGGACTGCAGCAGCACTTCTGGGGCTCTGTACCACAGTGTCACCACCTACAACACACACATACAGGGAAAAAACATTAATTGATTTTAAAAAAGCACATAGAAAGACCCTTGCCAGCAGCACTAGGTAAATGTCACCATGTAGGGGGGCTCAGGCACACGTCCTCACACACACAGGGTTAATTCTTCTCTGCCCTCATCTTGGGCTTACGTAAGACATGAAATCATATCTGGCAGGACAAGTCCTCCCTGATCCCATTTTGGTGTACCCACATCACACAGTCTTTCCACAGCAATCTACCAGTGACACACAATACTGTACATGCACTTACAGTATACGTTTGTTTGTACGGAGTGCTACTGATACGCCAATAACACACAATACATTTCACTGGATCAAACATGGCGAACGATGTGTGCATGTGAAGTGATAACAGGGTGACTTCAACTGATACCAACCACCCCACCCTTCTTCCTGCCATAACAGAAATTAAAAAACACTTCCTGTGTTTTGTCAAACAACCCTGCACCCACCTGAGGTACAACGGCAGCCATTTTGTGGCACTTCACACTAAGCATGGTTTCCAAATTTGTCCCTGTAACTCTATTGGGACCTCTGAGAGAGTGTGTGTGTGTGCGTAGCCATAGCCTGCAGGAAAGCAGCAGCATTGTTAACAGCTACAGTAGGGAAAGCCTCCAGACAAAACTCAGTGACCCCTAGTAAGAGAGTGGACTGGTTCCAGGTGCTTTCCTAACCTCCAGATTTTTCCAACAGCTTTTGGCTGCAGTTCCCCCTTCAGGCACTGCAGTGTGCTTATCGGGATCTTAGAGTCTGAGGCGAATGTTTGTAAGCAAAAAGAGGGCAGCGTCACCCAGATATCTTTATTGACTTGACTGGTGTGGACTCTGCATGAAAACGAAGTAACACGACTGACTTTTTTTGATGTTGTCCACATTCTTAAATATGCTGGAACAAGTAACATGAGATCAGCGATCTAAAAAAAGAGATGTAGATCACCAAATATTAACTATTAAAGAGTGAATGAGGTCCTTGTCTAAGTGCTCATGTGTCCCCTGAGAAGTTACTTTAAGCCTGCAGCCAAGCATCGTCCTGATCCGGCAGCTCCGTAGATTGTATTCAGTTATTTGAGTTATTTAAGTATCACATGCACAGATTGGTGAATGTAAAGCTAGCATATGCGGGATGGGAGAAACAGCAGGAGTAAGCCAAATACTGTAAGAATCTGGTGCAACCAAATAAAAACCTCACCGCCTCCCTTCAGGACTCCCTCCAGAACACAAACTGTTCGAGTACAGCTGCCACAAGAGAGCGTTACTGGGGACAGAAGCGTGGTGCATTAAAGGTCCCCTATTGTTTCCCTTTTCAGCAAAGCAACGAAAGTCTTACATGTCCTCGAAATCTGTCCTTCAAACTTTAATTAAAATACTGCAAAGACGGTTCACTACCACAACCGTGTACGCCTTGTTTCAGTTCAGTTCTACACAGACTCTTTCTCTGAGCGATCATTTTATATGGATATCCTGGAATTCACAGCAGAGCTACATAGTTTTTAAATCATGTGAGTGCCATGCAGCATTCTGGTTACAAAGTCAGTAGTTTTGTACTAAACACAATAAAATAGTTTTTTCAGCATATGGGTCCTTTAAAACTATCTGATGTCTAATCATAACACACTGATAGGCACACACCATGTATGCAAAACATCCATAAGCCTATATAGACAAATATAAGATAAATATCACAAGATGACACTTCCTTGGGAATGCAATGCAATACAGGCGCATTTAAAGAACACAGAAGGATGCATAAATACAAATAAATGCCATCATCTGTTTAGCAATATGTCTTAAAGCCAGCTGGGAAAAACAACTTGTGTCTTTGCAAGCATGGTAGCAGCATAGCCCTATAAATAGCAACGTCAGTCTTCTTATCCATTATTACTTTGTTCCAGACTAAGATATCTCTTAAACTAAAGATTGCAATAAAATCTTGTACAGAAGACATTCATGATCCCCAGATGATCAATCCTACAGACTTTGGTAATTCATTGCCTTTGGTACAGCGCCACCATGAGACCACCACGCAAAGCTAATGGCTAAAAAGACCTTAAGTTACCAAGTGACAGGGCAATATTTTATTACCCACCTGGCAAATGGAAAAGGAATTCATGCAAAATAGACTTTACTCAATTGTTGAAAGAGAAAGTCCTGGATATGAGGTAAACTGATCACACATGACCACAAGCTTAAAACCGAGGCATTCAACAGAGACTGATAAGAGGAATAAAAAGTATGGTCACATTTTTTCCACTAAACTGAATGACACTATTAATAGAGCCGGGGGGCTGCCTTTTGCAGATGTGTGATACTTTCTCATCTCTGCTTCCTGCTTCAGTAGAACTAGGACGGAAGTTGAGGCTAGTTGCCTGAAATGTGCCTAGTGAGACACGTGACCAGAAATGGGACATATGTGCTGAGAATGAATAGACTGCCTGTTTTAAAGTCATTGAAGAATTTCAGAACAGTGAAACCTCAAAGAAAACCATGAATGGAAGTTGCACAGCTGCCCATGTAGTCAGGCTACACGCTGTCAATTATGTTTTTAAACAGAGCAAAACTCAAGAATGCATTGCTTCATTTTTGTAGGATTTTTTTAAAAGCTTTTTTTGACTTTAACCACGTTCTCCGCAAGTCTTCAGCCTGATATCACATCTCCATTTCCTCTTTACTAAGATCTAGCATTGCCACAGCCATCAAACATGCAAACACAGCTTGTCACTTTAAAATGTGGATGGACACATAACTGACAAATGGGCCCATCGACACGTTCTTGTAACTCTTGCAGCTGCAGGCTCACATGCATATGACTTCAGTCTACTGCATGGATTTGTCGCCTTGCAGAGTCAAAAGTCAGAGCTCATAAGAACACACACACACAAAGCCTTCTAGGAAGAACCACAGACCTAGAGCTCAGGGTATATCCGCCTCAGTGCAATGCAGTTATTCGAAAACCCGGCCACAACTGCAGATTAAGGCATATACATAACACATGCATGCACTCGCAGACACACCGGAAGATAGATGCATTAAAGTCTGAAATTACACCCTGACTACTACCACTATAGTATAGTGTTTTTGTAGCTGTGCATCTGTGGCAAGGTGGCCTTTCATTCTATACCCATGATGAAGGACAAACCTGCCTTTATTCTATATTTTCACTTGTTTGTTAATGCATATCCTGAAAAGACCAAAACCAACAATTTCCAAGTTCCCTACTCTGTCTGTGACAATGCCCATTTGCTCCTGCTCAGGCAGTTTTATAAAAAATGGTTATAAATATATAATTATAGACTACTTTCAGCTGCAGTTTAATATACATTTGTTGCACTAAGTGGCACTTACAGCAGCAGCACTTATATGCAGCAATGGCTCGAAATCAACAATTCGCTGCAATAAAGAAACATGTGCCCCCCCCCCCCAGGCCAACAGTGTGGCTCAAACAGGGCCCAATCATGAACCACAAATATAAAGTAGACTGCTATTTTAGCTAATGCCTAATAGTCTCAAACTACTAACTGTTTCTGCCTCAAATATCTCATCTCATACATCAGATTTACAGCTTTAGGGTGCTCATTTTCATTTCCAAACAGTCCACCATGAGTTCTGCTTTTAACTCAGCAATCCTTCTGCCCCTTTTCTCCCTACCGCCTCCCTCTCTCTCCAGCAATCTCTTGTTTCTTCTCTATAAAATGTCTCTCTTTCTCTGACTGTTTCTGTAAGCCCCGAAGTCTGTAAAACACATATGCCCGAAATGCAGTAAAGCCAACACTTAACAGTTGGAGAGCCCATAATATCCATGAATGGATTTAGATCACACACACAGTTTCACACTCTCCATAAAATACAAAGTATGTTACACTAAATATCTCCCAGCTATTATCCTTACAAAAAGGTACATGCTCTGAGTTACAGTCTAAACACACAACTTAATAACCGTTTTCACAGAGATGATTATAACAACACATCTGTTGGTAAATGAAGGACATTCCCCGATTGTAATGTTCCTTTTTTGTGTCCTTTCCCCTCCTCTTCTTCCGACCACGTTTGCATTCCTGCTTCCTTAGTCTCTCTTTCTCACCCTTCTCATTCTCTGTTCTGCTTCACATATCCCTTCATGAACCACTCCTGCTCTCCCTCCTCTGCACAGGCTGCATGAAAACACAGATACAGACTCATACATACAGTATACTGAGCAGCTACAGATACAGAAAGTGACTCAGCCTTAAACTTTGCAAGACAGTGTTTTGCCCTTAGGTCAGCTGCTTTGCATTTTCAACCTGCGTCTATCCGGCACCATTCTTCCCTTCCGCATGGTAACAGTGAAGCCAGAGGAGGTCAGATAAAGCCAAATGAGACAAAAAGAGAGGGAGTTAGACTGAGAGACAGAGAGAGTGTGTGAGGCTGACTCTAGATTAAAGGACAACATTCTGGGAATTCCTTTCTGCTGAGAGCATCCTCCCCCTCACCACCACCACCATCCTCCTCAGCCCTCACTGCTGCTCTCTCCTCCCCGCTCCCCATCAGAGAGGAAATGGCTTCTCCTGCCCCAGAGGACCTCCAGACCTCCAAGCCCAGACCTCCAAGTCTGTCCGCCTTGCAACATCCGGATCTGTGCTACCAGTGCACTGTGTATGTACAGTATGACAAAAGGGTGAATGCATGTGAGTGCGGGGGCGTTTGGTTTGTGTTATGTGTGAGTACTTGCACGTGACTTTGAGAGCACCTGCTTTTCCCTGGATGAATGTGCTTCAGTGCCAAAGGCTTTTGTGTGTTGGTGTGTGTATCTGCAAATGTATCCAAGCTATCTGCAGCATGTGTTTAATCTTTAAAGGATATGTTTGTTCATTACAATGTGGACCTAATTTGAACAGATTGGGCCACTATTCTTATCAGTGATTAGACAATGTGTTCACCAGATTGATCAGATCTGGGAATGCAACAGCATTGGTTTCTTGCTCCAATGTATT